CACGACGCGCTCGCTCTCGTTGTCGAGCGCCGACGTGGCTTCGTCGAGCACGAGGATCTTGGGCTGCCGCACGAGCGCTCGGGCGATCGCGACGCGCTGCTTTTGGCCACCGGACAACGTCGTGCCCTTCTCGCCGCACATGGTGTCGTACTGGTTCGGAAGGCTCATGATAAAGTCGTGGGCGTTGGCGAGCTTCGCGGCCGCGACCACCTCGTCCTTGGAGATGTTGTCGCCGCCGGCCGCAATGTTTTCGAGGATCGTCGTCGCAAAGAGGACGGGTTCCTGGGACACGAGGCCGATCTGCGACCGAAGCCACTTGAGCTGGAGCGACGAGATGTCGCGGCCGTCGAGGAGGATCTGGCCGCTCGTGGGTTCGTAAAAGCGCTCAAGGAGGGCGACAAGCGTGCTCTTGCCCGAGCCGGACGAGCCGACAAGCGCAACCGTCTGGCCTTGCTCGATCGTGAGCGAGTAGCCGCGCAGGACAACGTCTTCAGGGCGCGTCGGATACGAAAACACCAAATCGCGGGCCTCAACCTTGCCGTTGCAGTACGGTGGCACGTCGCCCTCGAGGTTGGCCGCGTTGATCTTGGACGGGCGGTCGAGGATTTGGTAGAGAGCTGACGCTGCACCCTTGGCAGAGGCCACGGCCGAGATGTTGGGTGAGATCTGCGAGATCGCCATCGTGCCCAGAAGGATGCCATAGAAGACGGAGAAGACGTCCCCGGGTGTGTTGACTGTGCCCGACTGGTCCTTGACGAGGTAGCCGCCGTACCAGAGCCCGACCGCATAGGTGAGCCACATGCTCATGATGAACAGTGCGGACGTAAAGGCGACAAACGTGGCAAGCTTGACCGCCTCGTCTTCAGCCTTCTGGACGTTCTCGCCATACTTTTCAATTGCGCGCGGCTCAGCGTTGAGCGACGCGACGGTGCGCATGGCACCAATGGTCTCCTCAGCGACAGCACCGGCGGTAGCATACACCTTCTGACTGCGGGCCGTGGACTCGTGCAGACGCTTGATGAGAAAAGTGAGCGAGATGGCCATGATCGGCATGACGGCGCACATGGCGAGCGAGAGGTTCCAGCCCTTGTAAAAGCCGATCGCGTAGCCCGCAAAGAACTGGACGACGTAGCGAAAGGCTTCGCCGAGCTTCTCGCCCATGCCTTCCTTGATCTTGACAGTGTCGCCCGAGATGCGCGAGGCGAGCTCGCTTGCGTCGCGCTGGTCGTACCACGAGATCTCTTGGTACAAAACATGCTTGAGCACCTCGCGGCGCAGCGACCGCATTTGACGCTCGGCGGAAATAGCAAAGCACGCGTACGAGCCGTAGCCGGAAAGAAGCAGCACGAACGAGAGGATGAGGAAGTTGAGCGCGGTGTCGTTGACTGCCGATTGGTTGTTGGTCGAAAAGTGGTTGAGCGCGTCACCAAAGAGGATGGCCATGAAGGGAAACGTGGCGCCGTTGACGATCGACATGCAGACACCACTGCCAATCAAGGCCGCGTCGCCTGCGTTGCCGTACCGGTACAGCGACACGAACGACATCGTTGGCTCGGGCTCGAGCGCCGCTACGTCGATCGCAGCGGCTCCTGTCGGCGTCGTCGCCATGGCGTACTGGTCGTTGTCTTGGTGGTTCTTCATCGAATGTATCCGATGCAAAGCAAATCAAATTGTGAGAAGCAACGTCGGCCTCGACGTTGGCTCTCGGAAACGCAACCTTACCACCCCTAACCCCGCCGAGACTTCGTGATTAGCGTCGCGGTCAGCTAGTGTGAGCAAGGTCACGGAGTGGGATATCTTATAAGCGTTTAGAGGTTTGCATCTGTCGCTCAGGTGGGGAGATTGTACACTATGCGGTGCAAGAGGTTTTTTACCGCGTGACGACGCCATTCGAAGTAATTCGATCAAATCGAAGGTGCAAAACCGAAGTTTACACCCCATCGCGGGCCGTCAACACGATGTGTGTCAACACGCCTTCATGCCTGCGTTCTGCACTCCCTTCCCACACAGTGATGTCAACCTATCCATTCTAGGTTCAATTCACGTAGTGTGCCAGTGTAGCTATGCGATCACCTCTTTTTTAAATGACTTGGATCTGAAATAGCCGCGATCAACTCGTAGATCTCTGGCGTCAAGCGCCAAATGTAAGCTTCGCAGCATCGGCAAACCCTGACCCGTTTATTGCATTTTGGCAAAAATGTACATGGTGGCCTCTACCGACCCTTGATGAGAACGGAGGGTCCTATTTTGAAATCGCCTCGCCGGTCACTGGCTGCGCTAACACTCACCTGCAAGGCGCAAACACCTCGCCTACATATATATGAACGTGTTTCGCGTTATCTTCATAATTACACAAAGACTTAATACGTAGAGACTAGCAATCCCCTTCTTCTTTATTCGCTCGCCGGTCCGTGGCTGCGCAGGCGGCGGCGCGGCTCGTCTGGCTCTTCTGTCGTCGCCCTACGACGCTTGTGGCCGCGGGTGAGGCCCGTGACGACAAAGTCGGTAAAGTCTGTAGAAAGCAAACTCTATATCATGTCCGCCACACCAAATGCCGTCTCTCATGTGGGAGGCCGCTGGTGGTGCAATCTGGGTTTCAGCCCAATTATGTCTGGTCAATACGGCTGTCTATCGAAGCAATTTGCGCAGCCCAATTCTGTACAAGGTACTAGTATTGCAATTGCTGGTGCAGTGGGCCGCGAGCACCGACGACGCTCTTTTCCACAGCGACGGCACGACGTACTTGGCGTGTACGTCGTACAACTGCGGTCTCTGGATGCTGCTCCACCGCATGAGTCTCTCGCCTGTCGCGGCTCGCCTCGCACCGGCGCTGCAGCTGTTCATGCAGCACTTTGGGCACTGTCCGCCGTGCCGGTACGACCGATATGTCGATTGTCTGTGATGCTGATGAAGGACGTAGTGCCTTCCTAGAGAGGTACCATTCGATCGAGACACTGGAGATACTCCAGCACGCGCCGCAAGCCGCGATCACTTTGCGACTGCACAACGCCATCAACAGCGTCGCGCGCTCGGCGTGGCCTTCACAAGACGAATGCCCGCAATGCGTACAGTCATGATAATCGAAGAGGACTATTTTTACAAGTAGTCGTCCGACGTCGGCTCATATGGTATCTCGAACGGCCCTTGATGAAGGTTGCGCGAGAACGAGGTTACGAAGAGGATGACGAAGGAGACACACGCACCAAACTCGGTCGTTGCCCGATCGACGACCGACTGGGAGGAAGCGGCGGTTCTCACGTACGTTCACGCGCCCTTTGCGACCGCCGATGCGCCCCACCTTTGAGACGCTACAGGATGGCACCACCGTGGTGGTTGCCACGGCTAGGTTTCGGTGCCGCCGTCGCCGGCCTTGTCTGCTTCAAGAGCCGTCGACCCAACCAAAGTAGTACCAAGTTGTCTTGAGACGATCGGACACTACATTATTGTCTCGAGCCGACACGACATGGTGACAAACTATCAAGGTTTCAAGGTAGTGAAACAGGTTTAGATTATTGATGTAAAATGCAGTGTGAGTGACCGCGTAATTCCTGATTTGTAGCAAATTTAGTAGACGATGGGTTACGAAAGCGCTAAAATTGACTTTGTCTATTGACCGACCGATTGCCGCGACTTTTCATTCTCAAAGTATCTCTTAATGTTGCGAACCTGGCTACATGGTAATAATTTGGCTATACGGAGCGCGTGTCGGAGCATCGCAGGCTCGAAACGAAATCGGAAATCCAAGCGTGCACGAGAGTCGCCCAAGATGTCATTCCGTCGACTGGAGTAGTGTGAGAACGCGTCGCAGTCGCCGAAGCAGCGGGGCGACGTTGAACGGGATGATATTGTGTCGTTGGTACTTGTCAAGGTCCGTATACGTCGCGTTCAAGACTACTGAGATGGTGGTGACGCGCACGGTAGTCGGCCACGCGGTGGGCGGTGACGCGTCAATAAAGCGCAAAAACGCGACAAAATAGGCGAGCGCATCGGTTTCTAAGCCCATCAGTGTATCAAGTTGAAAGAGTATCAAGTACCGTTGGACGTGAGCCAGTCGACAAGCACCGAATGGTCGTCGTGAATCGTTGCGCAGACCAAGTCAAACACAAGGACGGGGTGGAACGCCTCGGCAATGGGCGACGAGCCATGCGCCTCGCACAGATCAAGCGCCAAGCGTGCCGCACTGATGAGGACGTCGTCTTCGTCCGCGACGATCTCGACGAGCTTGGCGCGTAGTGCAGGCAGATACCGCAACCTCTCTGGACGCGTTGCGCTCTTTGCCAATGTATGCAGCGCGGACTGCAGAGTAATAGACGGTGGCATGCGCAGTCCTCGATGCAGAACGCGCAACCCAAAAAGCAGCAGCCGCTGGAGCGCCGGCGTCGTCGCATCACCGACAAAAAAGGTGACGCCGACGACGGGCGTGCTATTGAGAATACGCTCGACCAGCGTTGGAAACGCCGAGGCTAGAAACGTTACCGAGCGCTCAAGAAAGGCCGCCGCGCTGGCGTCGTGGTCGTCGTCATCGACGGTAACGGCCACGTCGTCAAGGAAGCCAATGCACTCGACATAGAGGTACTGCGGTAGCTGCGGCAGCGATAGCAGCGTAATGAAGGACGCTGCCATCTCGAACATCGACGCACCCAAAAGAGGGATCGCCGCGCGCAGAAAAGCCAGGTACTCGAACAGCACACCGGGCGTTGCAATTGCACACGTCGATGCAGTTGAGCAAAGTGCCTCGAGCTGGTCGGCGGAAGCAACGATGGCAGCGCGCAGCCACCGGCCGCGTGGATCGGCAGCCTCGTCGTCGCCATCATCGCCGCTATCAGAGCACGAAGCTTCGCTGTCGTCGTCGCATGTTGCTGCCAGGAGTCGTCGCAGTAGCTGGAACTGATAGCCGCATCCAGCAAAGCTCAAGAGCGACCTACAGACAAGTGTGGCTTGTCGTGTCAAGATAGCGCTTGCGTACCCGGTCCATGCCACGCACTCCTTGCGGCTCTCAAAGGCGCACGTCGTCTGCAGTGTCTTCATAGCTGCATGCCCAGCCATCGGGTCGATCGACAGGAGCGCGCCCGTCAGCGCATCCATCCTCGTGAGAAAGTGCAATGTCAAATATAGTGTAAGATGTCATCGCGACATACAAATACTGGATGCATGAGCTTGAAATAGTTTAATGACCTAATATAGTGTTTTAGCCAAAAATAGAGTGTGTGCAATCTCAAACCGCGAGCGATGGTGACCTGGGGGCAAGTCGCCGTCACGCTCATCGCGGGCAGCTACCTCATCGGGCGCAAGGAGCTGCCAGTTGCCGCCAAGTCATGTGGGCGCTACGTTGGTCGCTCGATCGGCGCCGTACTTCGCGCCAAGAACGAGTACTTTGAAGCGACCAAGGACAGCGAGATCGTCAAGGTACAACGAGGTCTCACCACGGACCGGTGCAACCTACTAGTATCGTGCTTCTAGATGCAAACCGAGCTGCAAAAGGGCCTCGACGAGCTCAATCAGATTCGGTCCGAGCTCACCAACATTAGCAGCATGAAGCGACCGCTGCGTCCGGTGGGCACGGCGCCAGCGGCGGGTCCTTCGCCGCCGACGGTGGCCGCCTCGACGGCGTTCGTCGCAACACCGATGGCGACGACGGCCTCGCGCCGCTCCTCAATCATCAACAACGCTGTGGCAAGCGTCGACCACACGGAGCGGGCGTACGAAGACGTGCTCGAGCACGCAGAAGACGCCGACCAGGCGCGCCTCGCCCTCGCCGAGCTCAACATGGCCAAGCAAAACCAGTTTACAGCCCACATCGGTACGACTGTTTAAGCCAACGATGCGATCTAATGCTATCATATGCGTAGAAAGCATCGAAGGCGGCGCCGACTATGTCTCGTCCAGCCTCATGGACAGCATCTTGCTCAAGCGCGTGGCCGCACCAACTCCGTCGCCGCCGCCAGCTGCCAGTAGTACACCCTGAGACCACATTGATACGAGATAGGCAGCTTGCAAACGACGTCATGTTATGAGTGCTAGTCTGCGAGGGCGGGAACGCGAGCGTCGAGGCTTAGTGGCCGTGGCCTGTGCTGCGACGGATCTTGATGATCGCACCGGGGTTCGTGCCGAGGTTGAGGAGGAAGTTGAGGAGCATAGTGGTGCTGCTGCTGTTGGTGTTACGACCGACGAGGCAAATGGGGGAATAAGCTCTTGCAAGCACGACGGGCCGCTGGGTGATCGGTCGGCACTGGCCATTGGCAGCTGCGGATCTGCCAGAATTCGGTCTTGGATACCGGGTGCGAGTGATCGAGAAGCTTGCGATGACTATAAGATCTACATGGCTATGTACATATGAACGTGGCTATCTACTGTATTTCGAGGCGCGCATACAGGCGGATGATAGACTTCCGATCGTTCCCGAGCAAGGGTTGTGGTTGCTGCAGAGCGCTGGTTTCGAATGGCAAAACGCAGATCTTTGGATTCGGCGATGAGAAAAAGCGTCGACAGATCATCATTGCATGCGTGGAAGGAGTCTCTATTACCGCTGCGTTCGCGCATCGACCTACCGCGTGCCTTCGTAGACGCGGGCCGGAATGAGCTGGCGGAATGCAAGGCGATCTTCGAGGGCGACGGCCGCCGAGAGAAGGCGGTCTTCGGTCTGGGGCGCGCCAATGAGCTGGAGGCCGAGCGGAAGGCCGCCCGAGATGGCGGCCGGCAGCGAGAGCGCGGGCAGCCCTGCGAGGCTCGCAGGAATCGTCATGATGTCGTTCATAAACATTTCGATCGGGTCGGCGGCACCGTGGAGCGAGAAGGGCCCCGTGGGCGTCGTCGGCGTCAGGAGCACATCGACCTAATTTTGGTCAAAATGCTGTTAAAGCGAGGAGCCTCGTACGCCAGAGGTAAACGTCGCGGCAAAGTCGTCGCGAATGCGCTGCCGCACAATGACTGCGCGCTCGTAATAGTCGTTGAACGCGCCGGCCGATAGCACGAACGTGCCCGACAAGATGCGGCGCTATTAGCGTGCCACGTCATAGGTTCGAACTTCGTTTTTCAACTACCTGGACTTCGGGGCCAAACCCTTCTGAGCGCGTCCGGCAATAGAGGTCGTGGAGCGCTGTCGCTTGGTTCGAGTCGTCGGCGACGCTCGTCTCGGTCGTCGCCGCCCTACGAAGCAGTTGTCAGCACACGGCGTCAACGGAGCGATCGCACCGGAAGCCGTAGCGGACGCCGTCGTAGCGCGAGAGATTCGACGACGCTTCGGCGCACGCAAGAATGTAGTACGTCGGCAGCGCGTACTTGGTGGTCGGCAGCGACACCTCGACGACGCGTGCTCCTACGCCATCCTCCTTGTGAGCCAAGGGCGAGACAGCACGCATGACGCACCGGCGTCACGAAGGTGGCGGATGCCGTCGTCCCACACGGCAAGCATGGCTTCTGGAAGTTCCTCGACGTAGTACTCGTTCGGCACACCGACCGTCAAGCCCTTCAAGCTCGACGTGTCCGCTGGCAGTTGGCACTACGCTAGCGTCAACGAAAGCGGCCAATCATATCGATCGTACCCAGGCGTTTGGAATCGGCTCCTGGATCGCGGTCGCGTCCTTGCCGTCGGGCCCCGCGAGCAGCGGCAGCACGAGCGACGCGTCCCTGGCATATACGTCGGACAATGTGAGAAGTCATGCCACGTGTGTCGTCCACGACTCAGTACCGTGCTGTCTTAGTGAAGAGTGCCGGCGTGTCGAGCGAGCTCGCATACGCAATCATGCCGTGGCGCGAGATGCGGCCATAGTTCGGTTTGATGCCCGTGACACCGCAGTACGCCGCCGGCTATCCGCATTCATTCCTATGAGATTTTATAAGGAGGCAGTCGCGTGTACCTGTCGCACCGAGCCGCCAGTGTCGGAGCCGAGCGCCGCAAAGCAGCAGCCAGACGCGATGGCCGCAGCGCTCGCGCCCGAGCTACCGCCCGAGACGAGCGCGGCGTCCGTCAAGTTGGTCGACCACGGGTTGATGGTTGCGCCAAACGTGCTGTACTTAGTCGCCGACCCCATACCAAACTCGTCCATGTTGAGCTTTCCGAGGGGCACGGCGCCGGCGTCCAGAAGGCGCTGCGTCGCCGTCGACTCGTACGGCGCGTGAAAACCTGAACGCAATCTCTCTCTAGTCGCGCCACGTTGAAATGGAGTCATACCGTCGAGGATCTTGGAGCCACACGTCGTCGGTGCTTCGTTGTGCATGCAGAAAATGTCCTTGACACCGACGGGGATACCGTCGAGTGGGCCGCGGGCGGCACCGCTGGCGCGCCGCGCATCGGACGCAGCAGCGAGCGCCCGCGCGCTCTCAAAGGTGTCGGCGACAAACATGTTGAGGTCGCGCGTCGCATTGATCTGCGCAATGCATGCTTCCGTGAGCGCCGTCGCCGTCGTCGTGCCCGCGGCCAAGGCCTGCGAAACTTCGAGAAGCGACTTGCGGCTCCAGTCGCTCATGTGTCGGCCAAGCCGCTCCTTCGTGCACCTAATGGCTCGCTGCATGAGCTATCGGCGTCCGTGACGGCGCTGTACCGGCGGAGCATCATCGTCGAACACCGAATTGCCATCAATTTCATATGCAGCGTTTAAATACTGTACGATACACTATTTAGTAAGTCGGAAATCGTGTTGAGATACAAAGCAAGCACCCAATAGAACGAAATAGAAAGGCTTGTTTGCGCTGGACGAGGATTGGTCCAAATACCATGCAGGCTTTGGATTGGTTTCTTTTCCACATTGTTTTGGCCAATCGGATACGACATTGTGCGTGCTGCGCTGCGCAATGCGCTCCTTGCACCGAGACACGATGAAATTTGGAGTGTCCTCCCTACGCTAGGAACAGATAGAGGGCATGCTGGAGAGCACGACGCGCTACTTCATGTTGCCGACTGCGGCGTCCAACGAGAGAAATGAGCAAATCTCTTAAACGTGGCATGTGCCGCGTTTAACGACAAATGCCATATTTAGTCGTATCTTGACAACCCGATGCGACCTCCACTGCTGTCAGTCGCATTTACTTGTTTGCCCATCGTTCGACTGCACGGTGGGACCCTATGCGACCCATACTTCTTCACGACATGCTCTTCGCCGGCAACTATACCGTTGGGCGCGCAATGGTCCCTGCGCATACAACCCACGCTCTCGGTTATCTTGGTGCATTCGTCACTGGTCGATTCGTCCGCTCCGACCAAGTTGTACAATGTACACTAACGTTATGGCAACAACCATTTAGTATATAAACCACAAGACTCGAAACCAAGTGCTACGTGAGCAAGGTCGCCGGCAGTTCGAGCTGCTCGATCAAGGACACACATTTCCGAAGCTGACGCGGTGGCAGCGCCAAGCCCGAGACGGTGAGCTGGACGCTCGAGTGGTGCACGCCATGCAGGAGCCGCAAGACGCCGTCGACTTGCAAGTGCGGGTTGAGTGCCACGTCCAGCGTGGTCAGCGTCGGGCACTTGGCTTCTTGCACCAAACGCGCCAACTGCGCGGCGCCGACGGCCGTCACCTCGTTCCCGCCCAGCGTCAGCGTCGTCAGCGACGTCGAGCTGCGCACCGCCATGCAGAGCGCGCGGACGCCAACGTCGCCAATGAAGTTATGACCAAGATGCAGCGTCTGGAGCGAGGCGCAGTGCGGAAGCGCCGTCGCCAGGATCGCGCAGCCCACGTCGCGCAAAAAGTTGTTTTCGACGTTGAGGCTCACCAGGTGCTGTATTTTCGGCAGCGTCGTGGCAAGCACCTCGCACGCGACCGTATCGAGTCCGTTGTAGGTCAAATTGAGGTGCCGGAGGTACACCATGTGCGGTAACGCGCCAAAGATGAGGCCCGCGACGCTCGGGTTGTGCAAGCAGTGGTTGCTCGAAAGCGTGCAGTGCGTCAAGTGCGACTCGGCGAGCGACTCGGCCATCATGGCCGCCATGGACGGCGCAATGTCGACCGTCTCGATGCTGCCGACGATTTCAAGACGTGGCAGCGACGTGGGCAGCTGCCGGCCGTTGAGCAAGGCGCGTGCGAGCGACGGTGTGAACGCGAGCTTGAGCGACCGTAGCGTTGGCACGTGGCGCCGGAGCGCATGGCACACGGCGCTTTCCGACTGGAGCGAAAAGGCTACCGATTCGAACGCGATCGTGTGCACACAGCGGGCGCGTTCGAGCCACGACGCCAATTTGCATGTGTTGTCGTCGGTCAAGACGATCGCCATGAACGAGGCAATGCGCAAGTGCGTGAGCTGCGACGACGCGCAGATGCAGGCGACGAGCGCGTCTTGCTCGGCGGGCGCCATGAGCCGCTGCCAGCATAGATCCAAGGACGCTAGGCGCGGACATGAGCGTTGCATCTCGGCGCACGCGGCCGCCACGTCGAGTGACGAGAAGAGCACTTCGGGTCCAATGTCGACCTTGCACGCGACGAGCTGCAATGGCCACCGCGCCATCGCGGTCGAGAGCACATCAAACGACTTGACGTTGGCGATCTCAACGTCCACGGACGGCACGACCACGTTGATCGCGTGGCGCACGTTGCTCCAGTCGGAGAGCTCGACGATTGTGTAGAGCGGCATGGCAGCACGAATATCCTCGACGTGATCGGGCGAGATCTTGGGCAGCACGAGGCGCGGGCCGCGCTGGAGCACGCTCGGGTACAGTCGGAGGAGGCTCTGCAGCGGGCGGCGCAGCGACCAGCGGGGCATCGCCGAGAGGAACGCGAGCCATGCCGACGGGCACGCAATGTACGCCGCAATGTACTCGACAAGTTCGGGTTCGAGCAGCATCGCGTCTCGGTGGCGTGAACGCAAGTGGGCAAATCTTTGTGTTGCGATCTTCCGTGCTTTTTTCGAAGCCAAATAATATCGAAGCCATCTCGGCCGAAGATTGCACTCTGGCGCCACGCTCTGTCTCGACGCCCTGCGACGATGTTGGCGACTCGTACAAACCACCAGCACGCTGCCACGTCGACAGCATCGGACCACCGTATCGCCCCAGCCAAAACAAGCAAATACCTACAGCCTCCGCCATCCACCTTGGACCCAACGCCAGTACAAATGAGATGGCAGAGTCGTGCACGGATACTGCTGCGACGACGACGAGAACTTCTCGACAACACATAGCCTCAACGAACCCTACCACGATGGCACTCGACATCCCGTCTACATCGGTCAGCCCTACGACCTTCGAGCATAATCAAATGGTAAGGTTTTCCTTGTTTAACTACCTTGCGAGCGCGGTGCCAACAGCCAAAGGCGTCATGGCGATAGCATCTCGTCGCTGCTCGACGACGACGATTCAACTTGAAGTGGGTCATCCGGATACGATCGTCGCGTGTCATCCGGATACGCGTGCGAAAGGGTGTTTCAAGCCTAAAGTTAGCGCGCCAAGAATAGGGCCTCGGTGCCATCAAGAAACAACAACCGACTCGTTCGCAGCCCACGATGTCGGGCCTCGGAGGCGTCGTCGGCGCGAGCTGCGTGACGAGGCGCCCGGTCCACGATCCTCGGGCCGGGTCCACGGTCCTCGACGTGCTCACGCGGAAGCTCCGGTCCAAGCTCGAAGCGCTCATCCCGGTCGAGAACGAGCGCGTCGAGAAGGCGTTCGAGCTCTTTACGAGCTCGGACGCGATCTCGCCCAACGCTTTTCACTCGCTATTGCTCAAGTTTCGCATCTGCGCCAACCGCCAGCAGAGCTACGCGCTCTTCCACCTCTACGACTCGGACGCCACGGGTACGCTCGATCGCGCCAAGTTCAAGCGCGGAGTCTTTGGCACGCCACGCGGGAAGCGCCAGCACGTGACCTCGACAACGCTGCTTAAGAAGAAGAAAGGCGCCGCCTTGAGTGCACCCGTCGCAGCCATCGCACTAACGTCGCCACTCCGTGTGCCCAACCAGGTGGCGCCACCGGTCCTCGCGCAGCCCGATCGTCTCGCGCACAAGCCGATGCAGTTGCACCACCACCCGGCGCGGGCGCAGCACGAGGTGATGGTCGGCGACAACCTTCCGTTGCCCGAAATCATCAAGCGGATACGGGAGAAGATCGACCAGCGCACGTCGAAGGGCTCGGACCGGTTCCGACAAGCGTTCATGATCTTTACAAAAGCGTCGGGTATTACGCTCGACGAGTTTCACGAAGGGCTCCTCCGCATGGGCTTTCGTCTCACGTCGTCGCAAGCCCAAGAGCTCTTTGCGATGTTTGACGCAAATCACTCGGGCGACCTCGACCTCAACGAGTTTGTCCAAGGCATTACGATCGACGACTACTCGGCCACGTACATTCAAGCCCAAATCGAGCGCCAGAAACGCGAGGACGTCCGGCGACTGCGCTACGCGGCGGCCGTCCACAGCGTCGAGGCCTCCTGGACGATCGAAGACATGGAGCGCAAGCTCCGGGAGAAGATCGAGCAGCACACGTCGCGGTCGTCCGACTGCTTTCGGCAGGCGCTGCAGATATTTAAAAAGACCAGCGGCATCCGCGCGCACGAGTTCCACGACGCGCTCGCCGAGCTCGGCCTGGACCTGCCCCGCGCGTCGACCATGAAGCTCTTTCAAAAGTACGATCTCGACGGCAGCGGCGACATTGACCTCAACGAATTTGTGCGCGGCGTGCTCCCGCCCGACTACACCAAGGGGACGTGGGTCGCCGAAGCCGACGAGATGGCGCGCCAAGACGCGTTGGTACGCACTCGCTAAGAAGCAAAGGAGTTTATCGAAATGGAATTAGCGCAAGCAACTCCAGCCAGATGCCTACTACAACCGCGTCAACATCGACCACTGGAGCCTCGACGCGATTCAAACCAAGCTCCGCGAGCGCATTACGCAGAAAACGTCCAAGTCCTCGGACACGTTCCGGCAAGTCTACCGCGTCTTTCAGAAGGCCCACGGTATCACATTTGACGAATTCACGCGCGGTGTCCTCGTCCTCGGCTTCCGCCTCAACGAGGCCCAAGCCCGCGGGCTCTTTGACCGCTACGATACCGACAAGAGCAGCACGATCGATCTCGCCGAGTTTTGCAAGCACGTGCTCGCCCCCGACTACACCGGCGACGGCGACGTCTGGGTACGACGATCAATGAGTGTGTAGTGTCGAATGACGATGGTAGGGCATGACGCACGATGAGCGACTGCAAAAGGGGGCCGACGCGATCGCATATGCGTCGCTGACCAAGAACGGTACGGTGCGACTCGCGACACCACCGCGACCGACGTCGGCACCGCCGGCGCGACCGGCCACGTCGTCGTCGTCATCGTCCGGTAGCAATGCCTCGGGTCGCCGCCCGTCGTCGCCCCGAAAACACATGTACACACAACATCTGTGTTTGGATGGACGGCTCATGGAGCTGTAGACGTCCGAGCAAGCCTGGGGACGTACCACGAAGGGCGTCGATCGGGGCACCGACACGACCGAGCAGTGCAGTGGGGATGCGACCGCTCTCAGCGCGCGTGTCGACGGCTCATGACGACCGACCAGCCACGGCGCGACCGGTCTCGGCTGGCTCGCGCCTTCCGCTGCAAAAAGCCAAGCGCGAGTCCCACATGCTGTGGCGAAGAAAGATTGAGGCCCACCACGCCCGTACCCCCCACGCCGCCGACACCGACGATGACAACGACGACGACGACGATGTCGAGGTGGACGAAACACCCAGCGAGCCCGACGACGACTACGATGCGACCGACGCCAGTAGCGAGCGTCCGTCGTCGGCCGCGCGATCACGGTCCGTGGCCTCTTTTACGTCGACCCGGCCATCGTCCCCAAGTTTTCGTCGACCAGTATCGCCAAGCTCTCGCCGGCCGTCGTCGCCATCGTCGAGTGCGAGTCGGCCAACGTCGCCACGGCCGTCGCGTCGCCCGTCGACACCCGAGCCGTCGACATCGAGCACGAGTCGGTCGTCGCTTCGGTCGGGGCGGTCCGAAGCGTCACTGCGGTCGCGGCAGCCGAGGACGTCACGGGAGCTGCCCGTCGCCAAGTTTTCACCGCGCACGTACTCGCACGGCTTCAAGCGGCTCTTTCTCCAAATGGCCAAAGACAAGTTACTGCCATAGCCGCCCACCACTGTAATATACACACGTCCAACAACATACTCGACTTGAGAAAAAGCGCAACGATCTTAGGTCGTCACTTGGGTCCAGAGCCAGTAGACGATGTGGTTGACAAGGTCGCGCACGGTTTGGCGCTGTTCGTGCGAGAGGGCGCCGCTCGCAGGCTCTTCACGTCGGCAAATCTCCATCGAGAGGAGGCCCGAGACGTCGTCGTGGTAGATGTGAATCATAATGTCCCGCGCGCTCTCACACATGAGGAGCACATGGCGTCGGCTGTGGAACTGGTACTCGCGCATCCCCTCCTACAAAAGCGCTTTGTCGAAACCGAAGAGGACTTCATCGAGGTACGATGTACCTTGTGCACGACTTTGAGAAGCCCGAGGAACTCGGACCAGTCGACCTGCGTCACGGCGAGGAGCTCTGTGAGCACCGGGTCAATGCTATCGCCATACAGTTAGCCGACATGGCTATGCAAATGTATTGCTACCGGTCAAATGGCGTCCGCACAGAGAGCGCGAGGCAGTCTTCCAGTTGCTGCACGTCGACTTCGCACGGCGGCGCTTCGAGCCCCGTCTGCGCCGCCCCAAAGAGGAGCCGCGACCAGAGAATGTCGCGCTTATAGTCGACGCTCGCGACACGCATGAGCTCCATCACAAACAGCTACTCATGGCTTGATCTTGATACGTTGATACAAAGCACGTACCTCGACGTGTTCCCAGAGGTGCGAGAGCGCGTCGGTCGTATGCAGCGCGTAGACCTTGAGCGTGTTTTGGGACGAGCTCGTGAGCACGAGCGTATACGGCGTACTGTCGAGCGCGATCGGTTGTTCGTTGAAGTCTTTGATGAACCGACCGGTCGCGCTCTTGGTGGCGATCGCATCGGGCGTCCCAAAGATGAGGAGGTCGCTCACATAGTACCGCGTCGCATGGCACGCAATGTAGCGCAGCAACGTCGCGACGTTCTCGACGACAAACTCCCACGCTTGCAGGCCATACACCGCGCTCTCTGGCGCCGACGGGTACGCTTCGAGAAACGCATTCATCGTGCCGACGACGTTGCGCACAACCGACGTCGACGGGTCGCCAAAGGCCACGTGCGCCTGGAGCGCGGTCGTCGACACCGACAACGTGTGCAAGACGAACGCGTGGAGGTCCGATATCACGTAATCGTACACGAGGCGTCGGACGTTGGTCGCGCGCGCGATCGCTTGGAAGGTCGAGACGAGGTCGGCGCGCGACAGGACCGGGTAGCTCGACTGCGGCAAATGCCGACCGGCGTCCAAGCTCACGACGTCGCGCTCCGAGACAAAGTACGCGCGGACGCCAACGTGGTGCGACTTGGACTGCGACAGCTCGATCAAAATGAGCCCTGCGACGCCGTCGGCCTTTTTTCCGTACACACCAACGCCATTTTGCGTCACGTCGTGGAGCGGTCGCAGTCCATGCTGACGCAGATGCGTCACGAGGAGCTGACCGACGTCGGCGGCGTGGCGCCGACCGAGACTCGCGGTCGCCCGAGTGCAAAAGGTCGTGAATTGACTGTAGGCGGCGCTGGCCGGCATGCCTTCAGTGCACAGCAGATCGTCGACGTGCAGCCGCGCAATGCTGCCAAAGAGGTTGTTGAAGATAAACTGGATCTCGTACGCCAGCAACGAGAGAATGTCGTGGGACGGCGCCGTCGTCCGGCGCGGCAACGCGCCACTGAACGACACTGCGAGCTGCCGATGGCCAATGAGCCGACTGCAGTCGACGAGCTTGCGGAGCGTGTCGGGCGCCGGCACGACCGACGTCGAATTCATGAGCCCTTTGAAGAGACCGTACACCATCGTGTAGCTCGACCGGTGCGACGCGTGAAAGTCCAGTGCCGAGCGCAAGTTGACGCCGTGGAAGACGAGCGGGTCTTTAGCTTTTGTCGAGCCTTCGACGTCGCGGTCGTCGCGGTGGTAGTGGCTAAACGACGACGGCAGCAGCGTCTTGAGCGCACTGCGCCACGCGAGCGACGTGTCCTTGGTGGCTTGGGTATTGCCACTGGTCGTGGTCGTCAACAGCGGTTTGGTCATCTCCGGGTGCTGCGGCAACGGCCCCGACGGCCGCCGCGTCGCAAGTGCAGCGGCCGACGGGACGACCGGCGACGCCTTGTTCTTACTCACACGGGGCGGGATCGCGTCCTTGTTGAGCGTCAGCGACCACGCGGGCGGCGGTTTGTTGTCGTTGCCGTCGTCCGAACCGGTGGCGCTCGGCGGCGTCGCCCCCGACGGCCCTTTCAACGGACCTCGGGCGCGGGCGCGGGCGGCCATGAGCGCGTTCGTCGCGTTCGCCGGCTTGCGCACGATCGGCGCGGCAACCGGCGCCGGCACGGTCAGCGACCGCCCGGACGACGACGACGAGAGCGTGGGCGCCGACGACATGGACGACGTCGCCGACGACGTCGACATGGGCGTCGAGACGGCCGAGTGCTCAAGCTTGTCGGCGGTGCCCGAGATCGCGCGGGGTCGCACCGAGAGGTCTTCAATGTACGTGCCGGTCTCGCGCAGATACTCGGCGAGGCCCATGCCTTCAATTGCCCGGAACGTCGACGTCACGAGCGACCGCGGCGCGGTTGTGTGCTCCAAGACGACGCCAAAGATCTGCGGCGTAAACACGATCGTGCCATGCACCACATCCCGCGCCAAGTGCAACGGGTTCTTTCCAAGGACCGGCGCCCGGCGCTCGACGAGCGACGTCGGTTGCAGCACAATGCACTGCGTCGGCGCGGCCAACGCAAAGCCCCGCTTTTGAAAGAGGATGCTGCTCAAGAGGGACTGCCGCAGCGCACACCACGAGAGCGCTTTCGAGATGCCGAGACAGAGCGACTCGAGCGCCGACGGGTGCACGTTGTAGCTCAGCAGTGAGAGCCCGTGGTGCGAGATCTGCACCGCGTAAAAGAGGTGCCGGCGCCCGAGGACGCCGAGCGTCGGGTGCAACATGGCATCGTGGAGCGAGTATTCTTTGGCCATCGGCATCGGCGGGTGCCGTGGTGACGCCATCGGCGACGGCAAGCTGCTCGTGACCGTGTCGACGCTGGCGAGCGAGTGCATCGAGCTCGTCTTGGGGAGCGGCTGTGGGTCCTCGGGCGGAGAGAACACTGTCGGTGGCGGCCGCGGACACACAAGGACAAACGTGTCGCGAAATGTATACGTCGACGCGACCACCGACGAGTCGGCGTCAAAGAGCGCACACGGGGACGACGGCGTCGACTGGTAGTACGTCGACGGCCTACACATACGACGATAGGACAGTGTTTGAGAGACATGGTAGAAGGCGCACCAGTGCGACGACGGCAAGCACTGCAGCAACGACGCTACTTGCTTGACAATGTGCGGAATCTCGTACGTCGGCAGCACTTGCGTCTGCGTCAAGAGAACCGCCGTCGTCGTCGTGAGCTGCGCCGCGTCCTTCAAGAGCCGTTGCACTTCGGTCAGCATCGTCGCCGGGTACACGGACGACGTCGACGGCTCGGCCAACATGGCCTCCAGTGCATACTCGTACAGCGCCTATCGAGCAGCATTCATCGATCGCGTCTTACTCCATGTAGCAAGGAGACGCTGCAGTACCTGCTTGACCGAGAGCACAAAGATCTCGGATAACACCGCGCAGTTGAGATGGCCGCGCACGTAGACGCGAAAGCGAACGTGGAACCCCGTGGGCAAGGACGACGACGACGACGACGACGGTGACGACGACGACGGTGACGGTGATGCACTCAGGACCTGCGACCAGACCGTACCAGGCGGCGCGAAGCAACCTATCGAGAATGCGCTCGGTCTCTACGCTTCTGCAAGGAGGTACGGTACCGGTGGGTGCATGGTGCACGACGGACGCGCCGTCGAGCAAGTCCATGTGCACGAGCGCGAGGCCCTTGCCACACGACGTCACAAAGCCCGAGCGCGCGCCAAACTCGGGGTTCATGTTGAGGACAAACGAATGCGTCGGTGTCGACTCGAGACGACCCGCATCGGCTGTCCAGCACACGGGCGACGACGGTGCTTCATGCTGCTTCTTGGCGCCAAACACATACGCCGGGTGCAGCACGTTGACGTCGATCGACGGTGTGGGCGGCATCGACCGGGCGTACGACGGTTCGGTCATCTTGTCCTTGATGAGGTGGAGCAGGACAATTGGGTCGCGCACAGGGGTCGGCAGCGCAAACGACGTGACGTGCGTCGGCGCCGCAACGTCGGGACACAGAAACTGCACGTCGGTGGCCACCAACGGGAACTTGGCGTTGCGCGCCAGTAGCTTCATCAGAATCAGCTGCGTCGCTTCGTCAATCTTGCGCTCGAGGACGCGGCAGAGCTCGATCGTGACCTCGTCCGACGGCGCGCAGATGCCGTAGACGGTGAGCTCCACCTGCCGCGTCGCTTCGTGCAGCGTCAGGAGCATGTAAAACACGTGGCCTGCCTTGTCCTTGTAGACAAACATGTGCGGTCGATTATGGACCTGGAACTGCTCGAGGGCCGCCGTGCACACGTTGTTGAGCGTCACGCTCGGAATGAGGCGGTCCTGGAGCTTGAAGCTCCGTCGGAACTGGCACACGCACTCAAACTGGCCGGGCCAAAAGAACGACGACGACGCAACGGCCGCGTCAAACGACGACGAGTGCGACGGTGTCGTTGTCGACGACGACGACTTGAGCAAGAGCGACGAACAGCTCCGGGATTCGTGCAGTTGCTGGAGCAAAATGATCTGGTTGACTTGCTTGGCGACTGCTAGGACACCGAGGTGCAACTGCGTCAAAAGCGACACTTCGTCGACGCCCGCACTTGGCGCCACGTGCAAGTGCAGCCACACCGTCGTATTGGCGTCGTCGACCGCAAAGAAGGCCCAGTACGGCGCGTCCGACACGACGAAATAGAGGTCGTTGCACGCTTGCAGCGGCAGCACGTGGCTCGCCAGCAGCTGCGTTCGGAAGAGCGATATGGCAGAGACAACGCCGTCGACGGGCAAAAACTCGAGCGGGTACTGAACACGTCGAAGCGACGTCGTCGGGAGCTCCAAAAACAGCAGTTGCACGAGCGACCCGAGCGCCGGTGTGAGCGTCGGCAAGCACTGCAGCATCCCGAGCACCTGGACAGCGCAGAGCTCTTGGAGACGCAAGCGGAGGTCCTGAAACACTTGGTGCTGCGTCGGCGGCAGGACCGTCTCGTCCATGTCCTTCTTCAAAAGCGGGTCCGGCGGCAGCGTCATGACCACAAGACGCAAGTACGTTTTCGGATGTCGCGGCCCGCGCAAGGCGTCGACGACCGCCAAGACGTCGGCCTCCAGCGTCGTCACCTTGCTCTCGGTCGCCTCGTTTGACGCGTCATCGTCCTCATCCGACGACGACTGCGACGGCACGCAGTTTGCGGCGCATAGCATCGACGTGAGCACGTCGGTGAACTGCTGCGTGTCCGAGAGGACGCGGACGCTGTTGGAGCGCGGGCGGCCGGCGCCGTCGACGTCGCTCTCGACGCCCTTGTCGTCTTGATAGCACTCGAGGCGGACAAAGAACGGGACAATGTCGTCGTTTTGCGCAGCAAAGTAGTACCACTGCGTCTTCGGGATCGATGTCAGCACCTGCGAGAGGAGCGCGTCGAACGCCGGGTCGATCGTACGTGGCACCAACGGCAGCAAATGCAACATGTGGTGCAATAACGAGACGTCGAGGTCGATGGCCACTTGCTGGCAGCTCCAGAGCGCCTGAAGCAAGTCGCACGGCTGCAGCGTCACGTGCTGCTCGCGGAGCGCTCGGTACACGCCGTGGGCAAAGTTGGTCTCGTGCGCCGCCTTGAGGTGCTTGACGTACACGTCCAAGCCGGACGTGGCCGCCATCGACGCATTGTCATCGAGCGAGCACTCGAAAAAGGTCAGCGGCAGCGCCAAGTACGACGAACACGTGTCGGCTTTGGGCTCAAAGAGCGCGCGCCGGGCTTCGAATCGTGCAACGTCGGCGGACGTCATTGGGTTGGGGTGGTGCGCGTTGAGCACGACCGACGACGACATGCCGGCAAGCCACTTGAGGCGCTCCGAGAGCGCGACCGGCGAGCTCGGTACGTCGCAACCACGGGGGGTGGGCACCGACTCGAGCGACGGCACAAACGCCAGCACAAACGTCGTCTCGGAGAGAAGCTTGGCAAAGCACCGACCGGGGGCGAGCGACGAGCAGCTCGGAGCGACTTCGCGCGCCGCCGACCAGAGCGGGCCGCCCGTGAGCCGCGGAAAGACGCCGTGCATGCGCGACTCGGTGCCCATCTCGTCGGTCCACGCAACCTCGACGTCGCTGAGCCGCTTGATGCTCTCGAGCAGCATCCCATGAAGCTCCACGTTGGCCGCGTCCGGCTCCATGTACAGCAGGAACCGGTCCGACGTCTTGGTGGCCGTCGTGAGGAGCCGCGCCGTGCTGAACGGCGACTCTTGCACGTGAAAAGGCCCGGCGGTCGCGGCTTCCGGCCCGAGCCGATCGAGGGGCCCGACGACCGTCGACTCGTCTTTGGTCGCTTGGAGAATGCGGTAGAACGTCGACATGCAAGAGAGTATGTGCACGTCAGCGAGGTACGTCGCGGCTTGCATCTCTTGGTAGTACGACGCCGACTCGATACCGTCGCTCATCGGGTTGTTGTCGTCGTCGTCGTCGTTGGGCGGTGCGCCAAAGGTTCCGGACGTGTCACAAATGCGTCCGCTCGTCGGCTCCATCCACAGCGATGTGCAGAGGACGCTGTCTGAGATGACTGTGATCGCATACTGCACGACCGCGCTCTTCTTGTTCTCGAGCAGCACCTCTTTGGCCAACAAGACAAAGCTGTCGTCGGCCTGGACGACGCAAAAGCCGTCGCTGTTCAAGCGTTCTTCTTGAAGCTGGTCGATGGTCTCGTCTTGCTGCGCCGACTCGACGTGCCAGCACCATAGCGTCCGCCACATGTACGCAGCAAACACCGACCCGACGAGGCCCGACCCGGAGCAACAGCTCGCAATCAACGGTGCGTTCACCGACCGTTCTTCGTGCGTCGTTGGCGGTGCAATGAGATCGTGGATGATGTGCGGTAGGAGGAAGAGTCGCTGCACATGCCGGTGGCAGAGCACCATGGACGGTGGCGTCTCGGTCGGGTTAACGCCAGCATACAGTGTGCGCTGGAGGTCGGCGAGCACCGCCTTGCGCGCCGACGTGGACGTGCCATAGAACGCCACGTAGATGACGACAAGCGCATGTCCTGTGCGCTCGAGTCGCACAAAGCAGAGCGCTTTTCGCGCCGGTGCCGACGCCGACGACGGCAACGAAAGCGTGAGCGACCCGCGTTGCTTGCGGTTGACGTTGCCTTTCGACGACGACGACGTGTCGAGAAACTTGAGGTAAATGTCGGCGCTCAAGGCCATGGATGACCACTTGCTCAGCGTCTCGAGCAGCAACGGATCCTTTGGGTACGTGGTCGACTCCAAGAGCAACATCTCAAAGCGCTCGACGTGGAACCAGCGGTGCCACAGGAGCGGCGAGAGCTCGCCGACGAGCAAAAACACCGGGTGGGGCGCCGCTACCGTCGTCGCCATGCGCGAAAAGGAATGCAGCTTTGTCGTATCTTGGTCGAGCGTCGGCATCGTCATCGCCGACACGAGATGCAGGAACGTTCGATCGCGCTCGTACATGTCCTTGAGGAACCGATGCAGCAGCACGCAGAGCGAGTTGACGGGTGGCGCGCTCATGCTGCGGACGGCGGCAAACTCTTCGAGAAACTTGGCGTGCGCGAGCACATCGATGCGGATCGTGAGCTCGCCGTCGCTTCCGAGGGGACCGCCGATCGTATACTCGAGCCAGACGTCGGACGTCCACTGTAGAACGCAGTGGAGACGCGTGCTGCCGTCTTTTGCACTGGAAGCGACCTTGGCGACGCAAAAGCCTTCTTCGAGCCGCGCCGACGCGAGCTTGGCGATCGCGCCCACAAACTTGAACTCATGGACCTTCTCGCGAAAGATGCGCAGTGGCCGGTACGACATGACGAGGTCCATCGGGACGCGGTCCGCGACCAGTGGCATCTCGGGCGATGGATTCGCCGGGCACACTTTGGACGGCTGCAGAAAGCACGCGGCTTGCACGTGGTTGGCAAACGGTGTCGCCGATGTTGGGAGCGAGCTCAGCGTCTCCATGTCAAAGAAGGCGCCGCCGGTCGCGGCCGTCACGTACCGAAGCAAGTCTGTGTCGGGCACGTACCCGAACGAGCAGTGGGGTACAAAGCCGCCGCCGAGCTACACGGTTTCGTATCAATATATCAAGTGGCCAAACGGCTACCTGGATGGCGTGGCAAGTGATGTGGTGGCGCGCCAACTGCATCATCATGTGGTCGTAAGCGTAGACATGCGGGAGGTCGACGACGCCGTCGGTCACGAGCACGAGCAGCGGCGCCGCGTCGTGCGGCAGCGAGTTGAGCGCAAAGGTGGCGTTCTGGAGCGTCATGGCCAAGGACGACGGCGCCGCGGCGGGCAGCGTCGACGATGGCGACGCCGTTGCCCACTTGTCTTCGAGAAGCTGGAGGCGCTGGCGCAGAAGCGACACGAGTGTGTGCACGTTCGTGTCGTTGACCATGTAGCCTTGGGCCAGCACGCACAGCGAGTCGACGAGCGCGCCCTGCACAAGAATCGAAATGTGGAGCTCGGGCGTCGCATACGTTGCGGGCTCCAAAGGGCGTTGCACGAGCGCATGCAAGAGGCGCTCGACCGACGTGAACGACACGTCGAGGAAGAGCGAGCCCGAGACAGGGTCGATCGACAAGCTCGACGGACTCGCGTCGAGGCAGATGACGACGCGGTACTTTTTAAACGAGAGGTACACGGCCGACTGCGGCGTCACGTTCAGTCGCATTGGCTCGGTCGGCTCGTCGCGCACCACCGCGTCCATACTCGGGTCGACGTCGCCAAACGCAATGCTTGCGAGCGCGACGCCTTCGTCCGGCAGCGTCATCTGCACGTACGTCGCTGCCTGCGTATCGAGGCCATGGGTGGCGACCGCGGTCGGCGGCGCCTGTAGCAGCTGCGCCAGGTGCCACGCCGAGAGCGCGGCGCCGTCAAACTGCGAAAAGTCGGCCGACTGCAAGTGGACCTCGCGCACGGGCGGCGACGCCACGAGCCGCGCGTCCTTGGCGTCGTCCTCCATCGTAAACGCCGGATATCGCAGTACGCTGGGCGTCCGATCGCATCCGCTTTGCCGTCGTATCCGGATACCCTGCGACTAAGACGACTAAGCTGCGCGCCCCGTACTAGGCCGCCAACGAGTACAACAGTGTCATACGAGCAGTGTATATAGCATGGATAGTCGAGATCTAAATAAAAAAGGCAGCCCATTCACTACGGCAGCAACGTCCATTTGGCCGCGCGGACCGGTCGCATGAGCTGGCGGAATGCCGGGTTGGCCTCGAGAGCCTTTCGCTGCTTGGCTTGCAAGAGCATGGCCGGGCTCTCGTCGAGCGATTGGAGGCGTGCACGGCGGGAGGTCTTGGGCGACGCGGGCGGACTGCGCGTTGACGTCGGCATGTGGAGGTACGTTGTCTCGATGGCCAATGCGCACGGCATGTCAAATGGCAGGTGGAAGCTCAAGTTGCACTTGGCAGTGAAAAGGCAAAGTGAGCTTCTCGCAGAGAGCCAATATCGGCTAGAAAGGCGGGAAATAATTTCGAACGTTGTCCCGCGGGCGCGCGACAGGGCGGCTTGCCGCCAAATCTACCTTCCAAGCCGACCATCATCGTCGGTGTCACCTTCACTGGCGCAGCAAGAGCTTGAATGCACCGTGTGTCACCACCGACGCCTGTGCGCTGACTTCGAGGGCATGCTCCGACGGTTCTATCGACGCCGGACCCAGGATAAGGAAGCGCCAGTCCGCACCATGCACGCCCAAGTAACTGTAGAGAGCCGCCCAAAACTTTGGTGCGACAAATGTCGAGGTTCCGGCGTGTTCCGGTGGACGGTGCCAGCATTGGCATGTCATCGTGGCGGACCGTGGTGGATGCTAGCGTGATACTACATGCACGGGATAGACTTAAGAGGTTAGGGTTACTGAGCGCTTAGACGACGCCGAGCTGGTAGAAGGCGCCGCACCACGCTTCGTCCACGTTGCGGACGGACGCGGCCTGCGGGTCGTAGCCACCAGCGCGCTGTTGCTCGGCGCGGAGCTGACGCCTGACCATACAATATGAGACGACGAGGACATGAGATAGGAGTCGTGTACGAGTCGGCGGCGCCTGGGCCACGCTTGCCACCGTGCACGGGAATGGGCTGCGGACCGCCAAAGACGCCGGGTTGGAAGCCCATCATCGCCGCTTCCATCTCGGCCGTGAGCGGCTGGTCGATGGGCACAGCGGTCGTCGGGTTGAGGATCTCGTCGACGTCGTTCTCGTCGCGTTCGCCGAGCGCGACTTCCATGAGCTGCGCCTTTTGCCGCTCGAGGTCGACTTGGAACTTGTTGTCTTCTTTTTGCTGGAGGCGGCGGCGCTCGTCGGCGACGCGCTGCTGCTCCTCGATCATGTGGAGGACACGGCGCTCTTCCTCGGCCTTCTTGGCGTCGTTGGCGTTGATCAAGATGGCGTTCTCCATCTTGTACTGCTTCCACTTCTTTTGCGCAGTCTCCTTCTCGGCCTCGTCGTCGCTCAAGAGCGCGAAAACTAGAGCCATCCATGAGCCATTGTCGAGGATGATCGTCGCCATGTACTGAGGTCCTCGACCTCCTCGAGGTACGCGTTGTACTCGTCGAGCGTGTTGAAGTCCTCGCCCGTCTTGTTGTACGTCTTGAGCACCTTCTTCCGGATCGCAATGTCCTTGGCAAAGTCCTGCTCCTCCTTGGTCTTGTCCTGGAGCTGCGACTTCTTGATCGGCTTCCCGCAGCCCGGTTTCGCGCATGTGATCTCGCGGTGGTGCTGGAACTCGCGCTTGACGCACTGGTCGCAGCTACGACAGGAGCCATGAGCGTCGTCGCCGTCGCCGCCACCGCCGCACGTACTAGCGATGGCCGCACTTGGAGATGAGGATCTTCATGCGCGTGTTGAGGATGTTCGAGTCATCGTCGGCGGCCGTGCCACAGACGCAGCACTTGGCCGCAAACTCCTCGTCCGTCGTCTTCATCGCCGGCCCCAAATTATGGTTCGACGATCGTAGTTGGTTTCGACTAACTACAATCGACTAAACAGCCGGTGTCACCGTTCATCCAACCGGTTGAAAGAAACGGCGCCAAAATGCAAGATCCAAGATCCAAGTGGCGCGAAATCTTCAGCACTTTGCGACGTTGAAGGGGTCAAGGTGCGAGCTACTTTAGTCGGTCGGCTAATACAACGAGTGTGGCCGAGAGAACGCACTTGGACGCTATGCTTGGTGTCGACGAGACTAACGGCGGTACTGCGACTAATAGCGACCATCGACGAGCGCTGCGTCCGCCGCACATGGCGAGCTGCTCGTCCTGGCAAGCTGCATGCTACGTCGCCATGAAGCGTCGGGCTGCGGCGCTGCTGCCGTCCTTCGCACTCGGTGAAGGACGCAGAACGGCCACGCGAAATTCGAATGCTGACTTCCATTGGATTGGCCGCTTTTTATCCAATCGCTATCGTTTTGCACCATGTGCGGCCAATGATTGGTTTTTCGAGTTGGAACAAAGGTCATGTCGGCGCCGTCGAGTCTTGCCGACCTAGCCGCGCTGCCACCCAAGCGACTCGGCCACGTCGTCACGTATGTGCACCAAGTGCAACACACGAGCCTCAAAGCCAAGCCACACACGATTCTGTGGGTCGGCGACCAAAGCGTTGCGTACTTCAAGCTCCATGTATGGGCCGCCGAAGCGCCACTGGTCGCGAAGCTCATGGCCGGCGACATTGCCGCCTTTCGCAACCTCCGCGTCAAGTGCTTTCGCGGTGTCGTCGAAGGGCACTTGACGCGGTCGTCCTCGGTCGTCGCGCTCATGCGGCACAACCAGTTTTTGGATCCGCATCGCGCCGAGTCGCCGTCCTTTTGCACCCTCCTCCCACTCCTCGAGTGGACGCGGCAACTCGAGGCGTCGGGCCGCAGCTTTGGCCACGTCAACATTCCCGAGATTGCGATCAAGGACTTGCGCGAGAACATGCTTGCGCACGTCGTGTGCCAACTGCGCCCGTGCTTGCCGCCTGCGCCGCAAAGCTACGTCATGCTCTATAGCGGCCCGGAAGACGGCATGTTGCTCCATTTATCGAACGACCTAATGCCGTTTCGATCGCTTCGGTTCGATGTGCCGGCGCGGGTGACGCACCTCATCGTCACGTTCGACGCGTCACGGCAGTGCCTCGTGGCCAACACGACCGGCGAGTCCCGTCTCGAGTACCTGGTCGACGTACCCGAGAGTGGCGCCTCCACGTCCAGTTCTCTCGAGTTTGATAGCTTCCACGACGCGAGTGACGCCGAACTCAACGGCCACGTCATTCTCCGACGCGTGGGCATCCGCCACGTCATATTGCCGTTTGCGTGGGAACGCGAAAGCGCGTGCCAGCTCATTGAAAAGTACTGCGTCCACTGCGAGACGACGTTGCCCGAGGCGCCGCTGGAGGTATACCCGCGCCTCTATGGCTCCTGTGTGCACGAGTGCGAAGGAAAACCGCGGGATGTGTGGCGATACAAGTCGTTCGTACTGGAGCTCGTGGACGTGCACGGTGTCTGCGCCCAAGTCCACGCGCATGACGTGGCGATTGAGCGGCTCTTGGGGCATATTCCAGCGTCGCTCGTGGCTGCGCCGACGTCGGAGAATGGCCTCGAGTACAAGGTGATTGTTGAAGCGCTCTTGCGGTCGCTGACCGACACGTCGCACCCGATGGACGTACATGTCTACTGCAGCGTTGTCGGCCAAACCACGGTGTTTGCCCTTATCGGGATTCCCTCCTAGTTAGTCGGCGCACCGACTAGAGTACACTATTTAGAACAATACAGTATTTGAGCCTTTTGCGGCGTTGGTGCGTGGCGGCGAGAGCATGTTCCGCTTCAACTTTGACGAGACCGCCGAGGCGACCAGCGCAGCGCCCGCGCCTCCGCCGATCGCCAAGCGGCCGGCCAAGCTCCACACGGAGAGCTCGCTGCAGGTGTGCGACGACTACTTTATGCCCGTGACCGTCGGCGGCGCCGACCTGGCCGTCGTCAACCAGCAGCATCCGCTCTTTGTGCAAAGTACACCACCTACCGACAGCGTCCAAGTAGCTCAAGTGTATGGCCGTAGACACGGGCGCGCTGCAAAAGCTCTTGACGACCCACGATCTCGAGACCGGCGTCTACGAAGGTCGTCGGTGTCGTGCAGCGTCTGCGTACTCACTGCGCTCGAATGTAGGCGGCTTCAAGCTCTGGGAGTGCTCGATCGACCTCATCGAGTACCTCCAGCAGCACCAGGCGGACTTTCCGATCGGCGCCTGCGGGCTCCGGGTCATGGAATTGGGCTGCGGCCACGGCCTCCCCGGCATCTTTGCGCTTCAGCAAGGTACGTCCGCGCTAGATTTTGTCGACGCCGAGACGTGTGGCATGCAAACTAGGCGCGTCGCATGTGCTCTTCTCCGACTACAACAGCGAGGTCATCGAGCTCGCAACGATCCCGAACACAATGCGCTGCGCCGGCGACCGACTCCATCACGCGTCCTTCTACTCGGGCGACTGGGCCAATGTCTCGGAGGCCATGGCGGCCAACGAAGATGCATCATACGACCTCGTCTTGACCGCCGAGACGCTCTACACGGAGGACGTGACGATTTCTCTCTTGGCCGTACGACATGCGCATCCTTGGTGAAGATGATAGCGTAGCATCTGTAGATGATCAAGCGTCACTTGAAGCGGTCCGGCGTCGCGCTCGTGGCGGCCAAGACGTACTACTTTGGCACGGGCGGCAGCGTCCACCACTTCAAGGACCTCGTGGCGCGCGAAGGCGACATGGTAGCGACGACGGTCTGGAACGGCAACGACTGTCGCTCCAACATTCGCGAGATCGTTCAAGTGACGTACAAGTAAAGCAAACAGCGCTCAGATATTTCGCCTGTTGCGCATGGCACATGCAGCTGGGCGTATCCGACTGTAGTTTGGGTGCCAAACTAGACTAGAATGCAGCTACCAGATTCTAGAGATGCCAATCGATCTTTCGGTTGGCCAGAGCTACAGTGTCGATCAATAGGTGCACTTGAGTGTCGATGGGAATCTGATTGCTGTTGAACCTTGTCCATTACGTCGTCGCGGTAAGGCCGCCAACGCCCAACATCGCCAGGCGCGGATCTTGCTTCGGCGCGCTGATTGGCCAGTTCCGATGACATTCAAGCGTTCCGGGACGTGATTGGCGCGTTATCCGGATGTGGCCGAGTCAGCCGAGGCTGGAGGTTGCCAGCTGGGTGTGCGGGTGTTGACTTGACACCGACCTCGCTCGCATGCGCGCCGTCGTCAGATTTCAATTCCCTACCACCACAATGAGCATCCTCTTCCGCACCCTCCGCCGGCCGGCCACCGCCCGCGCCTTCTCGACGCACCCCAGCATTGTCGCGCTGCGCCAAGTGGACCCGGCGTCGCCACAGAACGCGACCGACACGTACTTTGTCCGGACCTTGTACGTCATCGTGCACTTCATGCGGCTCCTCACTCGGTGCTGGCTAGGTCGCCTGGCTACAGCTCGTGCATTGCCGCTAAGGACCTCAAGGTCGACGACCGCATTGGCTCGACCGTCGGCACGGTGGTAGGCTCTTTATGCAATGGCCACCAGATCCTTACCAGATCTACATCTAGTACTCGACGCCGACGCGCTTTACGATTCAAATGGCGCTGGACAAGCACGTCGAGATCTTTGGCGGCATGCAGTACGCCAACCACCACTGCAACCCGAACGCCTCGTTCCTCATGTCCGAGTCGGACCCGACTGTGACGCTCGTCGCGATCAAGCCGATTGCCAAGGGTACACCGACCTCCTGTGCAAGGCGACTCATGCCCGTGTTAGGCGACCACATCACATTTGACTACGACACGACCGAGTGGGACATGGACGAGAAGTTTTCGTGCAACTGCGGCGACGCCGCGTGCCGGCACGAGATCCGTGGTGCCAAGCACATTGGGGACGCCGAGACGCTGCGTCTCTTGCCCAACTTTAGCCCAAGCGTCATGCGCAGCCTTCTCAAGCACAAGCTCGTCCAAGGCTGAGCGAAGCATCTAGCCTCGAAGCTTCTACGCGGGCGCCTTCGTGCTAACTTGTATTGTGTCCATTCTGTCACCCTTCAGCTGGAAGGCTTGGACATCGCAGCACGTCGACCCCTCAGCTTGGGATCCAAGCAGCATCAACGCCACCATGGATCGCTTGCGAGCCCGACCGCAGTGCTCCGAGGTCGTTCAAGTCCAAGCAAAGTAGAGCTTATGTGGAGAATTCGAGAAGCAGCGTACCTGCCCTGTGTGGGTTCAACCTTCTGAATGTTGCTCGATGTGTTTACGCTGCCGGGTGGCGGCGTTGGCAAGCCGCTTGGAAGACAGCAGCTGCCCCATACCGCCATCGTCGGCGCTTGCCATCATCATCGTACGTCACCATCCGACTGCTGACGCCAGTCGCCAAGCCTCCTCATTGGCAAATTCGAACAATGACGTGGCACGCGCACAGCGCATCGTTCACATTGCACTTTCTATTTACTAGTACGCATTTTACTTGAGATAGCGCTCGGCGACCTTGAAGGCGCCAAAAGCCGCGCCAGCCGCGACCGACGCAAAGAACATCGATACGCTAAGGGGCATGCCAAAGGGCGGGACCGGCGGCGTCGCAATGTTGGCCGGGTCTTCGTACAAGACGGTCTTGGTGTGCGCCTTATCCTTGACGATGAACGCAGCACGGCGACCAGCGACAAAGCCGTCTTCATGGAAGCCGCGGCCGAGCCACGCGCCCGAGAGCGTAATGCCTTCCTCCTGGAGAATGTCGTCCTGGGGAATGCAGTCGGCGAGGCGGCGCGGGTGGTCCCAAGGAAAGTCCATAATGAGAAGGTCCTTGGCCGGCGTCTTGCCCTTGTAGCCACCGGGCGTGATCGTCACAAACACGTCCTGGGTCGTCTTGAGGTGCTGGATGCGGTTCATCCAGTACGTGAGGATGTAGTCGTCGTTTTCCGTGATGCGCACGTTCCAGCTGGACCACGCCTTCTTGTCGTTCGAGAGGAAGCTAGCGTCGCGGTGCACATACATGTGGCTCTTGTGGAAGTAGTAGTCCATCAAGTTGTTGTTCTTGGTCGACCACGGCATGAGCGCCGCGCTCTCCTCAGCGTGGCAAGCGAGCACCACATGGTCGCATTCGATGCGCTCGCCGTCTTCGAGCGTCACGCTCTTGCCGCCCTGCTCGACCGCAACAACCTTGGCGTTTGTCTTGACGACGCCCTTGTGCTCGGTGAAAAACTTGAGGAACGGCGCCTTGTACGCCGAGCCAATGTACCACCAGAGGTGCTTGGGGCGGTCCATGCGGCGGCCAATCGCGCCCATGATCACCTGCCAGAGCGGAATGTAGAGCGAGTTCGAGTGCGTCTTGAGGCAGCGGAGAAACTGCGACGCGGGAAGCGCCATGACGTCGTGCTTGGGGACGGTCCAGAGGATCGCGACGAACGGGAGGTAGTAGTGGCGGAAGAACGCCTCCGAGTACTTGCTGCTCTTGGCCCACTCGGCGGTCGAGACGTTCGACTTGACGGGCATCGTGAGGAGGTCGACAGTAAACTGGTAAATGTCGTAGATGACACGCCACTTCTTGAGCGAGAAGAGCTCGAGGAGCGACGCAAACGGCTTGCGCGACGAGAACTGCATGTCGCCGGGCACGTCCGAGTCGACCGAGAGCGACATCGGGATGCGCTTGTACGTCGTGCCGTCCTCCTTTGTGACGCCAAAGTCCTTGAACCATTGCTTGATGTTCGGGTTCGAATCGCCAAACATCATAAAGCCGAGGTCCACCGACTCGCCATCGACTTCGATCGCGTACGTGTGGCCGCCGACGTAGTTTTCGCGGTCGACCAGAATGACCTCGTGCTCGTCCTTGGCGAGGTGGTAGGCGGCCGAGATACCGCCAATGCCAGACCCGACGACGACAACCTTCATCTTTTGCAAATTGCCAAATGCCGATCACCACCTTGGGCGTCCCTCGCCGCAAAGACAGGGACGGACCAATGAAAAGGCCATCTCGACACCTACACCTAGCAATATGCGTTCTTAGAGGTTGATACAGCCCTCTGCCGCCAGAAAGGGCGCCATTTATCCAGTTACAGAGGTGTCTACGCAACAGACTGCGCCTATCCTGATGCCATTGCATGGACGTGCGGCTGCCACGTATTTTTGCAGCCACCAGCCGACCCACGATCGTTGCAGCATCGTCGGTAGTACGGCACGCCGAACGCGGCGCAGCTTGGGCTGCCGTATGAACCAGGACCTGAGTTCGCCCCGTTCAAGAGTACCGCGTCCCAAAGGGTCGTGCATCGAGTCGCTCGACGATGCACCCCAAGCAAGTCGCAGCTGGCGATCGAGCGTAGCGGCCGTCGTCAATTTGGCAGATATGTTGAGGTCCTGGTCTATGTCACCGCGACACCCGAGCCACTCGTCGCGGTGGACATTGTCGCCAGCTGCTTGCTGTTGCAATGCACTGTAATGCAAGGCCAACTCGACCAACTCGACGTTATCGCGCGCCGGTCGAAGCTGGGTCGAAGCCATCGTCTGACGCAGAAGAGCCATCGACGATCTATTGCTGAGCAGAGCCTCTCGGTTGGCCGCTACGAACAATCAAGGCCAGCTTGAGCGTGTGAGGTCACGACTGACAGTAGCAGCAGCTACGCAGCAGTGCCAAGCGCAGACTGCAATGTGGCGAGAGCTCGAACCGAGGTCATGACGACCACTGTATCCGGATTCCGGTTGTGTTGAGCTTCCCGGGCTTTTTCCGCACCTTAACCGAACAGCTACGTTAAGTGCGTTGCTGGTGGCATGGCCGAGGACACCCGCGCCCGCGTGGCCGCGCTGCTGGCCTCGCCGCCGTCGGACGACGTCGACATGGACGCCGTAGTTCGCACCGTCATGGAGGCCATCGATAGGTACACATCTGGCTTGCATGCACCGATGCCCACGCTGATGCTAGCGGCTACGAGATGGTTCCGCTAAGCGACCTGGCCCGTGTCGCGACCAAGGAGCTCCGCATGCCTGCCTTGGGATGGCGCTTGACGAGCGGGTGCTGCTCATCGGATACGCTCGCAAGCTGTACGTGCGTCTTTGCGAGCGAACCTGCCCACGTGCTGGTGGCCCCCAACGTTAGCGGGAACGCCTTCCTGCTTGGGTACCTCGAGTCGCGCCACAACCAGCTCTGCCTCCAGGACGCTAGCGCTCGTCTGCGCGTGACTTTGGCCACGCTCGATCCCAATGCGCTCGGGCAGTGCGTGCTGGTCACGGCGTGGACATATGTCCACACAAGCCTGCAAGGTCACATCGACGTCACCGCGTACACGATCGTGCCGCGCAAGGCGCCACCGGCGTGGCAGTCGCCACGCTTTGACTGGGACGACCTCTTTCATCGGTGCTACCCGCGCCAGATGCCACCAACGTACGGCGGCCCTGCGCCGCTAGCGACAGCGCTCGCCGCCACGTCCGACGTCGGCACTGCTAAAGGGCGCTCGTACATGGTTCGTGGGCGTCTCAAGGCGTTTTCGCCCGTCCTCAAGTCGTACTTCTTCGCTGAGATCGAGTGTGCGCACGTCGGTGCCCGGCAGTCGGCATCGGTGCTTGTGACGGGCGACGCGGTCCATGTGCATCCGTGCTTGGTGCCCGGGATGGACCTTGTCATCACGGACACGATCAAGATTTTTGCCAAGGAGCACGGTCTCTACATGCTGCAGACGACGCCGACGTCTTTTGTGTGGCGACTGCCACCGATCCCGACGTCGTTGCCGCCACTCGAGGTTGCCACAACCGTTCTCGACTCGGACGTCGGCAGCAGTCGCCATGTCCGCGGCGTCATCACGCGGTACCTCGGCCCCGACACGTTGGAGCTCAGCCACCGATACACACTCCAGTGCATGCACTTTCCACCACTGTGCGCGCTTCGCGTCGGGGCCACCGTTGTCGTGTACAATGCCCACGTGACGGCACCAGGAACGCTCGGTCTCTGCGCGAGGAGCACGCTCCTCGTCGATGGCGTCTCGGCAGCGCCCACGCGGCTCTTGCAGCCGACCGTATACCTCAAAAAGTCGTCGCTCGCATTGCACCAACTGCCGCTGACGACGGTCGCAGCACTGACCAAGCTCCTCACACAATTGTTGGACAAGTTTGGTGGTCGTCGGCCCGCGTCCGAGGTGTTGTTGCCGCCGGCGTGGCACCTCTTGGCGTTGGCCAAAGGCGACCCCGCCGTGTGGCGCAAGCGCGAGCTCTTGCGCGCCGTTGCTGCGCGCCAAGGCATTGAATGGACGGCAGCCCTCCCGACGCTTGCCGCGTCCTTTTTACAGCACGAGATAGATTGCTTCAGCAGCCGTGCACCTGCTCGACCACTGCGCACCGCCATCAGCATCGCTGACCTCGTTGAGGTGGCGCTGACGGCCCAACGCGACGTGCTCTCGTCCGACGTCGACGATGTCCTGGCACCGTTCCTCGCACTTGGGTGCGTCACGGGGTGTGCAGCCACGGCGTCATGTGCATTTGCCGACCGCACAGGATCGATCCCGCTCGTGCTCTTGCAGTCTTCTCCACCGACGACGCATGTCTCGATAGCGACGCTCTACCAACTTCGCAAGTACCAACTGTGCGTGCACCGCGTCGGTGGTGGCGGGGTCGGGACACCCGGGCTCTTTGTCCGGGATGACGTGACGTACGCCGTCCATCTCGCGGTCGCGGTCGAGGACCTACTGCCATTGACGCCCAACGACAACGACAACGACGCCAGCGCACCGATACCGTCACCGCTGCTACTGCTTGTCGAGCACGTTCAAATCATCCACGACACTGGTCACCTCGTGCATGGAGTCGACGTTTCGACGCCGTCACACCCGCGCATGGTCGACGTCCTTGTCCCAAAGTTGCCGTGGCACCTCGGTGCCCGGGGCGCCGTGTGGCAACTGGACCGTGCGACGCTCACGAAAAGCCGCGAGGTGGCGTTCACTCTCCCAGCGGCCCGGGGTGCACTCGAGTTGCATCGTGTTGTGGCGCAGCTACCAAGCTACTTGGTGAGCCTCTCGGACGACGACGCGCTGGCCGTCGACGCGGTGCTGGCTGCCCTCGCTCAACGTCCGAATGAAGTGCTCTCTCTCGTGACGTACCACGCGTCACCATTCACAGCGATCCACGGCGTTCGCCTTGAGGGTGCACATATGGCCAAGTCGGACGCGAATACCCTTCCTTCGACACTCACGGTGGCCACCAAGATGCTACCCGCGCGACAGTGGCGTGAGATCCAGCTCCTCTATGGTCTCTTGGCGTCGTTCGAGCCGACGCGGTATCCCAAAGAGTTCTGCGTCGTGCCGCTCGTGCATCAGCCGAGCAACGCGCCCATCACCGAGTACCTCGCGCTGCCCAGCGCGCACAAGGACGTGATTGTGACGCTGCTCGGACGCGTTGTCTCGGTGCAAATGACGTACCACAAGGACGTGCTTCGGGGCCAGGACGATGCGCTCATCCGCGTTCATTTGCAAGACCTTACGTCGCGCGACGTGGTCGACATTACGTGGAACGTCGGGCGCCACGCGTACCCGTCCGGCCTGTGCCCGGGCGCGGTCGTGACGTTTTCCCGCATCAAGATGCACATTCGCCGGCTCTCGTTCAAGCCGTACTTTGCCATGCTGCACACGACGCGTGTGGCAGTAGTGCATTCGACCGAAGTGCCGTCCGCGCCGCCCGTACCGCGCAAGCTGCTCTTGGAGCTCTACCAAGTCGCTGTCGCCGATCGACGCTACTACGAGCACATTGGGACTGTCTGTCACATCTCGTATGCGACGCTGAAGCTGCAATGCGCGCGGTGTCACCGCGTCGTTGTCCGGGACAGCCACGGGTCGTTGCGCCACGCCCAAGAAGATTTGGCGCCGTGCCCGAGTCTGGTGCGTGATGTCGTCGTACTATGCAGCACCCGGTGTCTGGTCGACGACGGCACGGCCCAAGTTGAAGTCTATGCGTCGGGCGACGTGGCGTGGCACCTGCTCCATGTAGTTGTCTTCTCGGGTGCAATGTGTCTCATGACGAGGGTTAGGTGTCGGGACCGTCACGGACAACCCATGAAGCGACGGTCGTCGCGCTTGGCACGGAGCTCGCCTTCTTTAGCAACACGACGCCAGGCCTCTTTGACGCACCGTCGCCACAGATGCAATTTCATATCGACGCGTGGCGCGCCTGTGTTCTCAACGCCGCCAGTCAGCGCACGCAAATCGTCTTGCACGCCAAGCGGTTTTACGCCAAGCTCAAGCCGGCGCACGACCTCTCAGTGTTGCGCTGCGGCGAATTCGAGCTGCGGACGCCCGTGCAGCCCATGGTGCAGCTCGAGGCGATGGCGGTGCATGACCTCCATGTGCGCTACGAGTGGTGGAGCATCCAGCAGGACTTGCAGGCGCTGCAGATTGCTTTCTAGTCAAGGCAAGTTGGCCGCTTCATCGTCCGCACTTTCTAAAACAGTAACCATTTAACCACTAGACTAGGGTTAACCTCGTGTTTTCTTGGGGCAGGTTTTGGTCGAGCTCTTTGGTTGAGGTTTTGCATTGGGGTAGCGTGCAATCTAGCGGAGGGATCGTGTACTACGTGTGACGTAGTTTGGACTCGTCGGTGGACGGGGTCATGTGCATTGAGTTTCAACGTACCTGCCCCAAACCTCGGGTTTTCTTGGGGCAGGGTGTGGTTGGTCTTTCTGGTTGCGGTGGCATAGTGCCGGTGGGCCATCCAGCGGTTTTTCTGCGCAGTGGTTTGATTCGTGTAGATTCTACACGAATCAAACCACTGCACTGTAGAAGGTTTGTACAGAGTGCCATCGAGCTTTTTGATTCCAATTTGGTTTTGGGGCCACGTGCAACCTAGCGGTATGTCTGTGTCGTAGCTTGGACAGTGTGAATGCCTTCCACCCTCACGGGCTCTTGTACTATGCACGTCCAACGCACCCTTCCTACTGCAAACATGCATTCACATGGCGAATGTGTGACGGACGTGTGCGACGGATGCGACCTCCGCTTCGTTGCGGTGCCAGGCGGGCCGCTACCGGCCGTCACCCGGAAACGACACTGCGGTGCAACCTCCGCTGTGCTACGGTGCACCTGGTGGATTCTTTGTAGGGCTCCAGTGGTATCAACGTCAAATTCATTTTCCATTGTTTGGTGATGTTGGTGCATCGTCCCGATCTCGCTTAGATGTGGGTTGTTATTGTTAGAGCCGTCGCCGGGAAGGGCTCTTTCTTAGCCGCTTCAACCTTCGCATCGTTTCGGCACTCGGGTCCAGTACTGCATAGCAGACGCTTCGTGCATAGAGGCCACAGCAGCTTGATCAACATTGCAGGATGGATAACGTTCATGAGGTGGTTGAAAGAATCGCTTCTCGGATTTGCAGGCCCAGCGATTCTACTGTGACGGGCGCGGCCACTGCACGCGAGCGCTTCGCCTGGAGGTGCAGTGGCGGTCACGGTCGACGCCTTGGTTCGCTGCCGTCGCCTCTGCCTCGCGGTGATCTTCCGCTTGAGCTCCTTGGCCAACTCGATCGGAGTCGCTACTGCCGCTGCGCTCGCAGCATGGCGCTGCTGCGACTACCGCACGCGCTGCGCCCCGACACGCTCGGCCTCTCCATGGCCGAGTCTCCTATTCTGTGCTTGACGCGCGGATTGCGATAGAAACCTCCAAAGCAAACGCAACATACAGATACAATCCTATCTTCACGATCGAACACAATGATCTAACACCACGCGTAGTACAGCTATCGTGCAGGACCCATCAATACCCTATCCACTCGCTACACTCTGGATTGGCGCTGCGCGCATCGATGGCACATGCACGTGTCGCTACCGGGTCGACTCGCTTCGCTCGTGGCGCGCTGCGCGCTGTTCGGTTAAGTACGCTTCCGCACTTTGTAACGTTGTTACAAACACCAAGTCAAAAATCACGACATTGACCTGCCACTCGTACTTAACCGAATTCGACCCTTCCGGACGCACGCCGGAACACCTTGTTGAGACTTCCTTTTGCCCTACCGTGCTAACGCACGGGCCCGCTGCGCTCGTGCCGCGCTTCGCGCAAAAAAGTCGTTATTCAATTAATAGATAGATTCTATAGTCTTTTCTACTTGTCGCATCGGGCTGGACATGAACTTTGTACTTGTACTGGATGGCGGACGACGGTTGCGGATCGATAATAAGCCTAAACTGCAGTAGGAGGGTGACAATACTATTTGTTCGGACTACCGCGCACAGTGGCTCGAGAAGCTCCTCTCGTTCCTACTCGAGGTGATCCCAGCGCGCATCTCGTCGCCTGCTGTGGCTGGCTCGAAGCAGCTCGGCGATGGACCGCATGAAAGATCGCCACGCCCATCGATTTCCGGATACGGTATCCGGATAGCACACACCAGCAGTATGGCACCACGACGCATGCTCGGGCGCTTGGCCCGGGCCATGGCAGGCGCATCGGCTATCCCTGGAAAATGGACGGTGACGCGGCCGATGGACGTACCCCATCGTACTGGCAGCGTCGTCGTCGCCGGCCTTCTCATTGGCGCAGGCCTCACCGCCGTGGGCGCGGCCAAGGTGTACTCAACGGCGCTACCCCACGGCGATTTGGACAGCGCAATTCCATGCGAAGAGGTGCCAAAAGACAACGAGCCGATGGATCTCGACCGCCTGCTTGCGGTGCTGGATGCCCTCGCCGCGGCCTACGAGGCGACCGAGGTACGCATGTGCAGGCCCTGGTCGCTTGCGACACCTCAAGCATTAGGCGTGCGTTACCGCATGGGAGCACGAGCTGCGCGATGAGAACGCATTGACGGAAGCGCAGCTACTCGAGGCGATCACGACCCGATACGCACTCGCCCGCGACGAGGCCAAGGCCACCGTGTTTGCTTCGTTCGCGTGCGCGGCGAGCGAGGTGGATCGCGCCATCGCCGCCTTTGGCGCCGACAGCAACGTCATGGCATGTCTGAACCGTCTCCGCGCTACGAGCTATGCGTCTGTCCTTTCTTCCTGGATCCAAACCGTCAACCATTGCGATGTGTAGAGCCGTGGACGTGCCACCGACGCTGACGAAAGAACAAGTGCTGCTGCTCGTCGCCGAGACCCTCGATACGATCGCCGCAGCGATTGAAGAAGCAACAAACGACGCAAAGAAGCTCGGCAAAGCCGACTCGGCGGACGACAAGCGCGCGTGGACAAAGGCGTACAACGATCTGCCACCTGTCTATGAGGTCTACATGATTCTAGGATCCATGCGCGTGCCAACCACAAGGCAGCGAAACACCTTGGCGACGGCGCTCTCTTGTTGGCCGCACTTCGCGCGTACAGCGTCGATGCGGCCTTTGTGCAGCAGCTCCAGACGCTCCAGGCTGCCCACCGCGCAAGGTCGGACCTTTCTTGCCATCTTGCCACGTCATTTTTGCGTAGGCTGGCTGCACTATAAAGTCTCGGGAAATATTATATCTGGGAGGTTTGCGATCGAAGTTGGTTGGCTGGAACGTTCCGGCGCCTCGTATGCGTTCTCAAAGGGTCCGGATAGCGTTGTGGACCATCAGTCGTATCGATTCTCGCAGGTTCTCACACACATACAGTGTCTTAGTCAATACGAAAGTGATATCTGCGATCTTTGCGATCGTCCTGCAGTCGACGACGACGAGCCGCTGAGAGTGAGCAACGAAGGACGAACGAGCTCTCCGGGTCTATGACAGCATTGCTGGCCACACGGAGACCCCATGGTCGCATGGTCGTAGGTGGCTAGCGCGCCAGTGCGGCAAATGCTGGTGCTGGACCTTCCGCCCTTCTGCGGACTATGTTGATGTGCGCCATCGACATCACAGAAGGCGTACTCGATGGCGCACCACCAAGAAAGCACGGTACATTGTGACCAAGGCGCCACGTGTGCAGGAACAGTCCAGCAGCCAACAGCATGGATGGCCAGGATGGCTCGGGTCGTGCCAGACGGCGACCATGGATTCGTCTCGAGCGTTTCCTGCCACCACCGACAGCGCCAGCATGACAGAAGCACCGGTCCAGCGCTTGGATGTGGTTGTCGTGTACGTTGTACGCGGGCAACGTCGAGGCGATGGCCGTCGTCGCATGTTGTTGCATCTCGGCGCGTGCTGCTGCGTTAGCCATTTGAAAATATAAGTTCTGAGAGGTCCATCGGCGGGTTGAACACGTGAGAGAGGGTGACTAGACGATTTGGAGCGCAATCCGCGGCGCTACCTCCGTGTACCATGTCCGACGCCGTGCCCAGCAGCGCGACCATGATGAAGGCCGAGGGTCCGCCCAAGAAGCAGGCCAAGACGGGTGCGCCCCGCGCGGCGACGCCCAAGGCGCCGAAGGCCGCGCGCGCGACCTCGGCCGGCGCCAAGAAAAAGGCAGCGCCGGCGCCCGTGAGCATTCCGCCCAATGGCCTCAACACCAAGCCGAGTCCGCAGCCGAGTGCGGGGCCGCCTACCTACTCCGCGCCGGGTGCGCCCAACGCGCCACCGAACGCGCCCGCGCCCATGGCCGGCAACGTCAGCATGCAACGCCCGGCGTACGCTGGCATGCCGCCTGCGCAGGCGCCGACAGGGCCACACGCCATGGGCCCGAACGCGCCGGATCCGAACGTGCGCCGCAGCATCATGCACGCGCTGTTCATGCGCTACAAGCAGCTCCACGGCAGCAACGCGGACGACGCGACGTTGCAACGCATGGCGGCGAACCTCGAGCGCGAGATCTTTCAGCGCGCGCCGACGCGCGACGAGTATGCGCAGGTCGCGGCCGCCGAGATCAAGCGCCTCGACGTGAGCCAGCAGATGTACGGGACGCCGCCGCAGGGCCGCGAGATGGGCTCGGGCGGCGCGACGCCGGTTGGGCAGCCCCAGCGCCCGCCCGCCCCGTACGGCGCCCCGTCGCCCGGCGGCATGATGGACTACCGGTCGACATCGTCCGGCACGTACGTCCCGCCTAACACGCTCTCGTACCAAGAGTTTTGCGCGCGCATGCAGTACCAGCCGATCCAGAAGCTCGTCGACATCATGTGGAGCCAGCGCACGATGATTTACGATTTGCAGCAAGAACTGTGCCACTACAAGAAGCAGCTGCAGCCGCCGCAGTCGGCCCCCATGTACCCGCCGTCGTACCCGCCGCAGCAGCGACCGTACCACCCGAGTCCCACCACGAACGGCGAGAGCACACCAACGACGGCGACGAACTACGACCGCCGGCCGCCGCCGACGCCGCCACAGAACGCAACCGCGTATTGGGCCAAGGTCGCCGAGCTCAAGGACGCGCATAGCAACCACCTCAAGAAGGCGTACCAGATCCTCTGCATGGCGTCGCAGTCAACGGCGAGCATGCAGTCCACCAAGGCCGAGAGCATGAAGCAGAACATCCATTACGCCATGGTCGTCCTCAACGAAACCCAAGAGACGGCGGCGCAACCCCGCGACTTCTCAGTCATCATGTCGGTCGAGGCGTTCATTCGCGAGAGCATTCTGCCGCTCATCCGCAAGGTCCAAGAAGTCTCACAGCAAAAAGCTGGCACACCGACGCAGGCCAGTGGTCCGCCCCTGGGCCTGCCACAGCAGCAGCAGCAGCAGCAACAACATCCGCCGCAGCAACAACAACAGCACCAACAGCAGCACCAGCAGCAGCACCAACAGCACCAACACCAGCAACAACACCAGCAACAACAGCAGCAACAGCAGTCGTTGCAGCAGTCGTTGCAGCCGCCGCCGCAACAGCAACCGCCACAGCAGCAGCCGCGAGGGCCGCCGGCGCAAGGCAAGGCGCCGGACCGAGGTCAGTTTACAAAGCAGCTTCTTGACGACAAGAAACCCAGCGCCAAGGAGAACACGAGCAACAACATGGACGACTTTGCCGACTTTACGGGCCTCGACGACCTCGACGACCTCGACGAGAAGGACGACGCGTCGTCCTTCAACGCCAAGAAGCGTCCGCTGAGCGAGCTCTAACCCAATGGATATGTGTATTTAGTGGAATCAAAACAGAGGCTAGTGCCCGGCCATGTGCAGGTTGTGGGCGCGGCTGAGCATGTACTTGGCCCGGTCGCCGGCCGCCCAGTCCTTCCCGTGCGGGAAGATCCCGTCCGGGAGCGCCGACCACGGCACGTACGCAATGTCGACCGCGCCGTCGAACGGCATCCGGTGCATCTCGGTGGCCAAAAAGTAGTTGATGACGGGTGCAACGAGGCTCGAGGCCGCGCTACTGTTGGCGTCGTGGGCCATTTCAAAGCCCACAAAGTAGCTTCCCTCGGACGACGACGGCTGTAGTAGCGTCGGGAACGGGTGCACGGTGAGGACCGTCGCCGTGTGCTGCAGAATGTCGACGAGTCGCCGGAGCCGCGACGCCACAAAGCTGCTGTAGGCAAAGAAGCCGGACGAGCCCTTGAGCCGCAGCTGCACATAGTGGTCATACCGCACGGCAAAGTCCGACGGCGCAAAGAGCTGCGTCCACGCCAGCGGACTCGTGAGCGCCTTGAGCTGCATGTCGTCGAGAATCAACTTTGCGCGCGTAAACTCTTCCTTGAGTACGCGCAAGGTCGAGTACGTCACGTTCGCGGCCGAGTTCATGGCCGGGTACCCGGGCGTAATGATCGGCATCGCATGCGCGCGCTCGTGGACGTTGGCGGTCGGACTCCACTGCGGAAACCCTAACCCTGCGTCATAGGGTTTCGCGAGCATGATCGGTGTCGGCCACTTCCACGACGAGAGCACCGAGAAAAAGTGGTGGTACACGGAGGCGGCGACTGCGTTCGGGAACATTTGGCACACGAACGCGACAAGTACTGTCCACGAGATGCCGCCGAGGAAGCCGACCTTGTTCGAGTAGAGCCCGCGTCGTTTGGCCCAGAGACGCACGGCGCGGAGGCACGTGCGGAACGTGCCCGGGTGCGGTACGAGCTCGAGGATGAGCGACGCGGTGCGCGGTACGGAGAGCGACCGCACCGAGTTGACGTCCATGTTGGCGAGGATGTGGTCGCTGTGGATCGGCAAATGCTTGGGCACGCTCGGCTGCGTGAAGCGCGCAAAGAGGAGGTCGACCTTGACTCGATGGAACTTGAACGTGATCGTCGGCACGTACGCGTCTTCCATGCAGACAACGTCGACGATCCCGCTCGTTTGGTGTAGGACCGTCGGCAGCTCGGTGCAAAACGCATGGAGCGTCACTGCATTGGGCACGACGACGACGATGTCCAAGTCCGAGTCTTTCGTGTCGACCTTGAGGTACCAGCTACCGCCGACGTACAGGGCCGCGTGTCGCCCGGCCATCCACTTATCGATGATGCGGTCCATCTCGAGCAGCACGACGTGCTTGCTTGTCAAGCTCTCGCTGTCCTGGACCGGCCCGAGCGTGTTGAGGCACTTGAGTAGTCCGTTCGAGTTGCGCAGTTCGTACTCGGTGGGCGGCGGGGACGGCGACGGCGTCACCATCGGCTGCAAATGGCACTCGCGCCGGAGGTTTTCTAAGATTGAGTTGGTCTCGCCGCGCAAGATCGACTGCCGCATCTCGCGCTTCGTGCTCTTGGACAAGACGCCTTGCGAAGCGGCGTGGGCGATCGCGCCGCGGATGATGCTCGTGTGAATGCGCGGGCCCGCGACCTTGAGCCTCCGCGTTGTTGTCGTCGTCGTCGTTGCTGGTGACGGTGGCGGCGATGCAGTTATGATGGCGGCGGTGGCTCTCTCCTTGTGCTTGCGGGGTGGCGCGACGCACGCGCCATTGTTGTCGTGCCCGATCGGCGTGTCCGAGTCGCTGCAGCAGCCGTTGCTGATCGTCGTGCTCGTGTCGCAGCTGCTGCTACGGGAGAGCGTCGATGCCTTCTCGTCCGCGCTGTCGGTGCTTGCATCGTCGGCCGGCAGTGGCGGCCACTTGGCTTGCAAGAGCGCGTCCTTGTAGCTAAAGCCGCCCGTGCGCACTTCGTCGCTCGTCATCGCGTCTTTCCAGTGGGCGAGTGCGTCGTGGTCCGGCGCGCTCGCCTCGCTGCGCGTGCTGCTCGTGCATGCAGTCGGGTGCGTCTGCGCGTCGTCGAGCTTGCTGCTGTGGCGGTGGTGGTAGGCGGCGTACACGTGGGCCATCTATGTCAAGTGCACCGGCTGCGCCGTGGTGGCTCTTCCGACGACAATTGGGAACTTGGACCAGTACCAGCCCGAAGATCCGCCTCCGCTGTGATTGGCCAGCGTATGGAACAACTAGGCGCCTCTGTAAGATACCAAGATATAGAAATGCCGCCATCCGGATCCGGTTGCGATCGATCAACCAATTGGCGGTTTGTATGCTGGTGTTGTTCGATGGCTAAAATCACCCAATTTGCCGATTTGGCGCCAACCGCACCACCAACGCCAGTACACTACGGCAATTGAATCTACTAGACGAGCTCTGTTTCTACTAAACGAGCTCTGGTATCGCACTGGTTCTGGTGCATCGCTGGACGGACGTGCTGGACGGTCTCCGGAATCACCGCGACTGCGAACGAGGCTGCAGTACTCGTATGGACTGAGCGCATCGGCAAGCACATGGCGAGACGACATGGCGACGCTTCATCGCTGCGTGTATAACCGGGTGGGTCCGTAGCAAGGCGGCGAGATGCGCACTTGTTCGATTTATATTTTTCTTATTTTCGTAACCTACGGTAGAATTAGCGTCCACTCTGGTGCAGGCGCTGGAGCTTCAACGCGATGGTCGCCGCGCGCGTCATGGCCGGGTGCGCATGCATGTCGAGGGCGTCGACGACGTCCGGATGGCCGTTTCGCAGCGCCAAGAGCCGCGCCGTCTCGCCCGCCTAGCATCCGTTCGCATTCTGGTGATGGCGCAATATTGTACCGCGTCCTTTGTCGTGGGCTTGGCGCCGGCGTGGAGAAGCGCGAGGACCGTCTCGAAATGGCCTCGGCTCGCTGCAATCATGAGCGCCGTGCGTGCTTTCTACTCGTGTATCAGTGAGCGGCGCCGAGACCAGGAGGCGTGTACGAGGTTGCGTGTCTCGACCCGCGCGCCGTACGAGAGGAGGCACCGCACGAGCGGCGTAAAGCCGTGCTTGGCTGCGTAGTAGAGAGGTGTGCAGCCATTCTAATTCCGTCGATTTTGACACAAAGCCGAGCCATACTACTGTCGACGTACATAGCGACAGTCGAGGTCGGCGCGGTGTTGCACGGCCTCGAGCAGCTGCTTCAGATTACCGGTCGTCGCCGCCTCGACGAGCTCCCACGCGAGTCGCTCTTGCTGCAATCGCGTCGGCCGCTCCTCGTTGTTGTGCACGTCAAAGCGTGGCAGCGAGGCGTAGAAGGACGCCTTTGGTTGCGCTTTGGGTGGCATCCTCGACAAGGCCGATTCGAAAATGACGCCGCCGTAGCCTGCGCCAATCAGTGCGCGGCGACACGCATGACACACCGTGCATCGACGATCGTCATGCCGTTCTTTGAATCCCTAGCGAAGCGGAAAGCCAGCGTCGTTGAGCATGGTGGGTGCAGGTGCTCTTTAGGTGCCTGAGCGCGCAGCTTTGACAGTCAACGCACCCAGTGGCCGGGTTGGTGCTGGGCAGACCAGCCCATGCCACACGAACCATGGTGGGGATCGCCGCAGGTTGTGACAACCGTCGGCGCATGGACGGGACGCCATGACGACGCTAGCAACTGTCGTTTGACGTAGAGTTGTTGTTGGTCGTTGTTACTTTTGTCTGTCCTCGAAGCGAAGCGACCTAGTCTGAATGGACGCCGCATCGATATTGGTCGTGAAGCCATCCTTGGTGGTTTTCGAACACAGAGTGTATGACGTTGGTCGACACGCGAAACCTCTCTCGCACTAGAATCTACTTGTCGGACTTGGTCTCTTGCGCCTTGGTCGCAAGTTGCTTCCAGATGGGCACTGGCATCGGCTTGGCGGGCTGCAACGGCGCCGGCTCGCCCGTCAAGACGGCGTCGAGCGAGCTAATGAGGCCATCGAGGAAGCCAAAGCGGTGGGCGTAGATGCTTGAGAGCGTCAAGCCCTGCGTCAAGAAGAGAATGTGCCACTTCTTCTTGGCCAAGTACTCGCCGAGCTTCATGCTAAATCGCGCAACCGAGCGTTGGCCTTTCTGGTTCTTGTAACGAGGTGCACTCGCATGCGTTAGAAGCACTTTGCACACCACGTGGACGCGTAGACAGGGCGGCGACATTGCACATCGCGTGGATCGGTGCCGCAGCCGTCAAGCGCCGTGGGTTCAAGTACCGTGTTTGCCTGCGATTCCATCGGTCTACATGTATATTAGTAAAAGAGCTATATAATAATAGTACATGAGTACATTGAGCGCGTTCGTGTCGGAGCGACTACACTCGGACGGTAAAGGAGGGTAGTCGACTACGAATTTTGGCCAATCAGACGCGTGCGTAGCGCTAAGAAAGAAGTTGGTCGTCACAAATTCAGCAGTCGGTAGCAGCAGCATGAGCAGCAGCGAGGCCAAGCCGCCGGTCGCGATCGCGCCCCTCGCCAAGTACAAGCTCGTCTTCCTCGGCGACCAGGGCGTCGGGAAGACGTCGATGATCACGCGCTTCATGTATGACACCTTTGACAACGCGTACCAGGCCACGATCGGCATTGACTTTCTGAGCAAAACTATGTACCTCGAGGATCGCACGGTTCGCCTCCAGCTCTGGGACACGGCCGGCCAAGAGCGCTTCCGCAGCCTCATCCCGAGCTACATTCGCGACTCGTCCGTCGCCGTCGTCGTCTACGACATTACGAGTACGACTTCTGCCATCGCTTCGGTTCCTTTCTCACCTTCAAGATGCGTTTAGACCGCGCGTCCTTTCTCAACACGAGCAAGTGGATCGAGGACGTCCGCGCCGAGCGCGGCCAAGACGTCGTCATCATGCTTGTCGGCAACAAGACAGACATTGCGGACCGCCGGCAGGTGTCAATAGAAGAGGGCGCCGACAAGGCGAAAGAAGAGAACGTCATGTTTATCGAGACAAGCGCCAAGGCCGGCCACAACATCAAGGCGCTCTTCCGGAAGCTCGCGACGGTCTTGCCGGGCATGGAGACAACGCCGGCCGCGGCCACCGACGCCAACCGTACGATCCTCCCTCTCGCTCATCGATCTCACACTCCAATAGTGATTGATATCAAGCTCTCGGCAGCGCCCGCGCCCAAGGAGTCGACGGCCGAGACGTGCGGCTGCTAAGAATACAAACTTAAGATTCTGCATGTCCTACATCCGACGCCAGCGTCTCTATTTGCGCCGACTGCCGCCACCTTGCACTTCGCGCTCGCGCTCGAGGACCTTCTTCTCCGAGATCTTATCCCATTCGATTGGAAACTGCTGCATGTACTGGAGAAACTTCTTGTCCGTCTCCTCCATCTTGTTGGCCTAGACGATGCGGATGATCCCATGCATGCGGCGTAGAAAGGACGACGTACCGCAAGGAAGCGCTGGCGGTAGGCAAGCACCGTGTCGACATGCGTGCCAGCCGCGGTGGTGTGCTTGATGGCCAAGTCGAGCGCTCGGTCCCACCGGAAGAGCCGAATGTTCATCTTGATCGCACGATAGACGAGCGGCGATGGGTTGGCTTGGAGCAAAATGCCCTCGGCCTCGTCGATAGCGCCACCGTACAAGGCGAGCTCGGCCATGCGCCGCGCTTCGCTCACGAGATTCTTGACATAGAGCACAAAGTGCAGCTTGTCGACCGAGTCGATCGCGGCCAGCGCGACCTCGGCTGTCTCCAAATGCCGCTTGTGGAGGGCCATGCCGGCGACCGTGGTCCAGAGCGCGCGCGACTTGACAAAGCGGCAGAGACGCACGGCCTTGTCCCACTCGCTTGACGCGGTAAACTCGTAGAGCACCGTCGGGTACGGCGAGACGGCACCAGCGAGGATCGCGCCGTCCGCGCGACGCACCGTGAAGCGAGGACCAACAAACGACGTGATTTGTGCGAGCTTCATAAAGTCATTGCCGTCTTTGACTTCAATGGCATCGGGGAGCAGAGTCCGGTCGACGTAGACTATGTTTGGGTACAGCCAGCAAAACACCTACACGATTGCAACCAACTTGATACAAACTTGATACTCACCTTGGCATCGGAGATCGCGACCAGCATCTCGGACGCGTCGTTCCACGCTGCCGTGTCGACTTGCGCCTGGAGCTTAAACGTGCCCTTGTGCGTCACACGTGCGAGGTGGAGGTCGCGGTTCGTGTCGATGAAGAAGAGCTTTCGGTCACTCGACTGCCCATAGTGACTCAGCGCGAGCTCGGCAATCTCGAGCGAGTGGTGAAACACCACCGGGAGGGCCTTGCCCGAGTTAATCTCAAAGGACCGAATCGTCTTGCGGTCTGCATGGTCGAGTATGCTGATCGTGTCCGTGCTCAGCGAGACCGTCATGCGGTTCAGGAACTCGACGTGCATGCCCGAGAACTTGGGGTTGCTCACCGTCCGGCCTTCGTACGAGTAGACCTACATCCGGTAGCGTCGTCGACAGCGTCGCAGACAATAGTGTCCACTACCTGAATACCATTAAAGTTGTCGACGGTCACAAAGTGACACTCGCTTTGGATGATAAAGTTGACGGCCGCGCGCAAGTCGAAGATATGCGGCGTGTTCCAGTTGGTCGAGTTGTAGATAAAGCACTGCGTCGCCGTGCAGACGAGCAGAAAGCCGTAGCCCAGCGACATTTCAATCACGCGGTCCCGCACAAAATCGAGCTCCTCGACCGTCTCGTTCATGACATCGTGCACCACAATCTTGCGCGGGTCCTTGAGCGTCACCTGGTGCCACGTCATGGACGCAATTCAGAGGCAAACGCCGTCGTACCTCGATCTTGTTCCATTGCAGATGCCGGTCGACGACTTGGGCAAAGAGCGTTGCGCCGTTGCCACCGGCCGCAACGAGCTGCGTGCCGTCCGACGCCCACGCAATGTCCATGAGCGACCCGGTCTTGGGGCGCTCACGGCAGTACGACCACCCCGTCTTATCGCAGAGCCGGAGCATGTTGTAGGCGCCGACGGCAAACATGTCGCCCTTTGGGCTCCACGCAATCGACGTGATGACGTGTTCGCAGACCGGACTCTGGTACAGTTGGCGACCAAAGCCGTCCCAGACGCGAAAAATCCGGTCTTCGCCGCCGGAAATCACGCGGTTGTTGATCGGGTTCCAGTCGATGCACATGATCATGCCGTCGTGCGCCTTCCACTGGATGTCCTTGCGCCCGACCTACGATTTTCGTGGAGCTAGATCTGATGTTGTGGGAAACTAGTCCAACACCGACCTGGATCGTCTTGATGACGAGATTCTTTCCGTTGGTAAAGAGGATTTGGTCATTGTCCGGGCCCCAGCACACGGCGTAGACGGCCGTGCCTGCAGTGCAATGTCACGGTAAAGCAAAGAGAGCGTTGATGGGACCTGTGTTGGCGAGCGTCGACCGAAGATTGCCGCTGCGCGAGTACACCTTGACAGAGCCGTCTTCGCCAACGGTCACAAGCGCAGTGCCATCGTAGTTCCACTGCAGCGCGACCACCGCGCCGGCCTCGCACGCAATGACCTTTTTCTCTTCGCGGCCGTTCTTGGACATGAGCCGGAACGAGCCTACAGTGACCGTGAGCGACACGTCATAGCATTGCAGAGACACCGTCGGTGCAGCCAATGACAAAGAGGTCGCCGCCTTGCTTGCCCACGGACGGGATCCAGTCGACGCTCGTGACAAAGTTGTCGGTGGACGCAATCTTGCCGACGACTTCGCCGTCCATGCGCCAGCGCACGATGGTGTTGTCGTCGCTGCACGTGACGACGTCGTTCTCGGGCGTCCAGCAACACGCCGTCACGATCTCCGTGTGCTGGTTCACCGCCGCCTGCGCATGTTGGAAGCGCATCGCAAATCGAGCACTGCGACCTTTCCCGACGCGTCGCGATCTTGGTTTCCAACACATTGTGTTTCAAACATATTACGTGTTTTAAACAGACTCGGCGGCCACAGCGTCCCCGCAATCGCCAACAAGAGAAAGTATACGCCATGGCAGCGCGCCCGAGTAGCACCACGGGCTCATGCACGCGTTGTAGCGGCTGGTGGCAGTGTCGAGAGTAGGCGAAAGGGAGCCACGAAGGGCGAAATCGCGTGCGAACAGTCTGTTGGCCTCAAAGATACCGAAGCGAGATACCGGTCGTCGACGTTGCACCGGTTCATCGTCGCTCCCAAGCACACCTACCGGGATGATAATACGATAAGAACACTAGAATGGTCGAGGTCCAAATGGTCGAGGTCCGTCCGCGCCATGCTGACAGCGATCGGCCACAACCCGGACTGTGTTGGCGAGATGTGATTGGTTCAAAAGTCCCTCCTTCAACCAGCGCCATTGGCTAAAAAAGAGGAACAGTGCGTGATGATTGGCGGAATGGTGTCGAAATTCGATGCCAGATTCGATATCGACGCAAGATGACCGAGTACCCGTCGTCGCCCGTGAGCCCATCGGCGACGGACCGCCACCTGCAGGCGCTGCCGCTGCGCTGGGAAGGCTACCTGCGCAAGCGCGGCGACTGGCTTCCGCGCTGGGATACATATTATGTCGTCCTCAGCGGTGTCGACTTGGCCTACTTTGACAAGAGCGACATGGAGAAGAAGGTCGAGTACGTGCAGAGCAATTCGATCTCGCTTCCGACGTCGTGCGGCGACATGGACATTAGCGCTGCCTTGCCCAAGTCTACAAAAGCCAAGCAGCTCAAGCCGCGCGGCGTCCACGTGGTTGTGGGCGTCGAGACCGAGAGCAATGGCAAGACCAACCACCGCATCACGGTCACGACATCCAGCAAGCGCACGTTGCATTTTACGATGGACGCGAACCTCGACTTTGTCATTTGGAAGCAGATGCTCCTTGGCGCCCTCGAGCAGGCCACGCTGCTCGCGAAGCGCCAGCCCGTCGGCGGCCCGCTGCCGTACCCGACCCCGCCCTACCTTGTCGAGCTGCCCGTCATGTATGCATCGTTTGGCGACATTTGTCGGCGCGTGGGCAAGTTTTCGCTCTTGCTGCCGTGCCTCGACCCAGGCATCGTCGTGACGTCCAACTACCCGCCGAGCGTGCCGATGGCCGGTACGTACCACGGCCTCGGCGCGACCGCCGGCTTCCTCGCCTACATCTCCATCTTGCACACGCTCGTCGACGTGAGCCAGTTTCGCGTTACCCACATTGCGCGCGAAGGCGACCTTGCGGTCATTACCGGCAAGGAAACCATCACCAACACCAAGAACCAGCGGCGGTACCGTCAGATCTGGACGCACGAGCTTCGGTTTGGCGCCGATGGCCGCGTGACGCACCTCAACATTGTGGGCGATGCGATCGCGTCATCTGTTGCGTTCTCAGCGCACGCTGATGGACCGATGCTGTCGCTGCCGCACGACCGCGACGAAGGCAGCAGCACGTGTCCACCTGGTACGCTGCGGGTCGTGTGCGCGGCCGCCGAGGTCCCAAAGGCCAAGAAGGCGCCGCACATCAAGCTCGGTCTCTACGGGTTTCCCCACACGATTCTCAAGGCCGGCGCATCGAGCCGGAATCTCCAGCAAGTCACGTACGCCACCAAGCCCGCCAAGTCGGTATCGCCCATCTACTGGGCCGAGACGCTGGATCTGTCGTTCGCGGGCGCTGTGCCTGGCACGACGGCCTTCTTGTACTTGGAGGTGTGGGCGCCCGGGCTCATGGGCGACGAGATGCTCGGTGTCGCCAAGGTCAACCTCGCTCCGTACCTCGGGCGTCCGTCGAGCTCGTCGGACGAAGACATTGCGCTCGGCTCAATTCCAACGTGGTTTGATCTCGTGGCGCCCGAGCACGTTTTAGCTGCGAGTAGCAGCACCACGAGCGCCAAAGCCAAAAAAGCTAGCGCGACGCTCGGCAAAGTGCAGCTCAGCCTCGTCTTCTTGCCCAAGGGAATCGCGCCATGTAGTGCAGTCGTCGCGTCACCGGCGTCCTCGGTCGCGACTACCTCGTCACCGCCACCGATTCTCAAGCGCATGAGCTTTGACCGGCTCGCGGCACTTCACGAGCAATCGTCGGCCTCGTCGACGCACGACGCGACGTCGTCATCGTCGTCGTCGTCGGGGCGTGTTTTGCGGCAGAGTCTTTCGGAGCTGCCCGACCTCGACGCCATGCACACGTTTACCGTCTCGGGCACCAAATTCCGCGTCTACACGCGGTACCAACTCATCCGCGCGGTGGGCCATGGCGCCTACGGCGTCGTCATTGCGGCCTCGGACCAAGTGACGGGCAACGCGGTCGCGATCAAGAACATTCCCAAAACGTTCGACGACCTTATCGACGCCAAGCGCATCGTGCGCGAGATCCGCCTCATGCGGCACCTCGTTCACCCGCACATCGTCACGGTCCTCGATGTAATGCGGCCGCCGTCCCTCGCTCGGTTTGAAGACACGTACATTGTGACCGACCTCATGGAGACCGACCTCCACCGCGTGATCCAGTCGCCAGAACGCCTCGATGCCGAGCACATTGCGTATGTGACCTACCAGATGCTTGTCGCCCTGCGCTTCATGCACTCGGCGTCGGTCCTGCACCGCGACGTCAAGCCCTCCAACGTCTTGATCAACCGCGACTGCCTCGTAAAGCTCTGCGACTTTGGCCTCGCCCGCGGACTCCCGCAAGAAGACGCCGATTCGGCGGTCGAAGTCGGCGCTTTGACCGAGTATGTGGTTACGCGCTGGTACCGGGCGCCCGAGCTCCTTCTGAGCTCCAAGTACTCGTACCCAATCGACGTGTGGAGCGTCGGCTGCATCCTTGTCGAGATGTTTACGCGCAAAGCGCTCTTCCCTGGCCACGACCACGTGCACCAGCTGCAGCTGATTGCGTCAACTCTTGGGTCGCCGTCGCCCGGCGAGCTCGGGTTTGTCACAAACGAGAAGGCCAAACGCTGGATGGCCAAGCAGACCGTCCAAGCCCCTAAAGACTGGAAGAACGACGTCGCACCGTCGGCACCGGACGACGCGATCGACCTCATGAAGCGCCTCTTGGCGTTCGACCCGACGACGCGGATAACGATCGACGACGCGCTGGCCCACCCATTTTTAGCGCCGTACCGCGAGGCTGCCTCGGAAGGCCTCGCGTCCGCGCCCTTTGACTTTGCTTTTGAGCAACACGGTGACCTCCTCGACAAGCCGGCGCTGCAGCGGCTCATTTTTGAAGACGTGTGCCACTACCACCCCGAAGCCCGCGCCGAACTCGACGCGGCGACAGCGTAGACGGTCGCTGTCGGTGGCACGTGTGTATGCCACCACAGTTGGCGAGGTCGCGGTTGGCGTCACGTTGAGTCGCTCCTCGGTCGCATGGTGTAAAGCCGTTAATCGCAGTGCTTAGAGTTTGGCCATGGCGTAGCCTACAGCTACTACACATAGAGCGTGGAGGAGGACGTAGAGCCTGTAGCGCTGGCTGTGCTTGTAGACAAGGAGCAGCGACGTCGACGGGCGGTGGCGGGCGCCGGGAATGTCCTTGAAGAGATCGAGCACCATGCCATAGGTAAGGCCCCAGAGCACATACTCGTCGGCACCGCGATCGCTACGCTCGTCGTCGTTGCCTCTCTGATGCGGCAGCGGGAGGTATATGCAAGGAAACGCAATCGTCGACCACCCGAGAAGGCGTAGCATGCGCTACGTGCGAGGCTACATCTCTTGTAGCAACAGAACAAGGCGTACGTGGAGATACGGCGCTTCGTTCGTGCGGCGCCTCATAGCGTCCAGCGGAATACGCAGCTCGCGCAGGCGCGCCGTGAGCACATGCTCGACGTCGACCCAAAAGGCGGCGCTGACCTCGGACGTCTGCAGCGTGAATGCCGGCGCCGCCATCTCCGTCCAGAGAAAGACTAGACAGAGAGCGATGGATACGAGACGTAGAAGGAATGGGTTGCGTACCGTGCGTACTCACAACCATCGTGTTGCCGCTTGTCGCGGCGCGGACCGGCAGCTGCCCGAGCAACGTGGCCGAGGCGAGGTCAAGACCGACCTCCTCTCTAGCTTCACGGATCGCAGTCTCGAGGGACGTTTCGTTGGCCTCGCACTTGCCGCCGGGAAACGCGATCTGGCCGCTCCATCGGTCGCGCGGGTTGACAGCGCGGCGGATGAAGAGCAGCCGGATGCGGTCGCCGTCCACGCGGAGGACAGCCGCGACGCTGGCCTTCTACACAGAGTGCATACTCAGACGACAATAGGCGCAGCATGAAGCGGTCGTACGCGGGCGCCGTTGAGGACGCGTACGGGCCGGCGCGCCAGCGACGCTTGCAGGTCGTCGAGGAAGGTCTGCGGTGCCACCATGCGCTAGCCGTTTTGGCACCATGTGGCGACTTAAAACAGTGTTTAATTGCTGTATCCAGGAATTGTGCGACGACGGCCACCACCTTATGCGCATGGCCACCACGACGCACGTAGTACATGGAACAGTGTACAACTTGTCATTCCTGGGTCCTCGGACCTAAACAATGCACACGCATGCAGAGAAAAGCTCGGCGAGTGGGGTCCACCACACGATGAATCTCTCCGTACGCAGCTCACTCCCAACGACCACGTGCTGGTGCCACCTCCCACGCATTCTGGCTAGCGCTACGTATGCAAAGCCTTTGAGTTAACCCGTGCTACTTTGGTTTCAACGCGAACACAGCCTTGATATGCAGAGTAAAGGGCGTCAAGACTGGTGACTGGCTCGTCGGACAACGGAGCCCGCACCGCTGCAAGCACAGCCACAGCCGGCGAGCGAGCGGAGAAGTGCTCATCTCTACACCAGCCGCTCTTCTCTACGCAAGCAGCGTCTGAGCAAGCATTCGAAAGCGCATCACACGTCGATCCCTTCACATCGACCATACAACGAGTTGGACAGCGTACTCTCGTAGCCAGACTCATGCGACGAGGCGACATGCAAAAAAGCACGCACGCGGACTCCATTTAGGGTTCTTACATGTAGCATGAAGCATGCAAGCCGCCAAGTGTCCAAGTGTCGATGACGCAGATGACAATAGTGTCCTTCGTCGTCGCGGTAGGACTAGCCGCGGTCGACAAACTTGGTGATGCGGATCGTGTTTCCGCAGCTGCCTTCTTGCGCGACGACGGCGGGCGGGCACTGCATGGGCTGCGCAGGTGCAAACGACTGGTCGTTCTCGTCGACTTGATATGGATACGGTACGTTCTTGGTCCAGCAGCTAAACACTTCGTAGAGCGCATTGTCCCGGCAGCGCAAGACAACCTATCCACAATGTTTATAGTCCAGCCCGATATCGAGTCGACCAGACTGCGTACGTCGAGTCCCTTCTTCTTGAACGCAGCGACGAGCGCCGGCTTGGTCACGGTGCCGTTGATGTTGTCGGTGATGAGTTTTGGTGTGCCAATGTACTGTGCCATCTGGACAGCCGTGCGCAAGTAGTTTGTCTCGAGCATGCCGCTGCACGGGAAGTCGTACATGGGAATCACGTTGATCGGCGCGGGCGCGTCCGGGTTCCACATGTTGGCCGGGTCCTTGTTGAAGTCGAATGGGAAATACTGGATGAGCTTGTCGCGCGTGACGGCGCGAATGGCGTCGCCCGAGAAGAGCGCCGGCTTGCGCGTGCACGCAGGGTGGGCGAGGCGTGGCGCGGTCGCGTCTTCGAGGCGCGAGAGCTGCGGCACATTCTCTTTGTAGATCGGGTACAAGCGACCGGTGACGAGGTTGGTTTTGATGTACGGCGGCGGGTGGTAGCAAATCGAGGCGCACATGCAGCTACACTGCTCCGGGTACCACGCACTGGTGTAGATCCACAGGTCTTGTGAGCCCCAGAATTTGTCGTGGGTCGGTGCCGGCGTCTCGGGGGGCGGTGTCGTTGTCTTGGGTGGCTTGGGTGTCGACGCCGCCGCCGCGATCGCGAAAAGACCAGCTGCGCTTGCGAGTACGCAACGCATGGCCATTGGAAAAGTGAGTCGTGGGCCGCATGTCTGAGGCGCATCTGATAACAGAACGCGTTCTGAGTCTGACTACACGCCCGATTGCACTTGATAAAACCGGATGCCAACTACACCAGCGGTGGAGGGCGCCGCCCTCTTTGCGACGAGCGAGCTACTCGACGATGCAAATTCGAGTGCAGGATCCACGACGATGGCAACCGACTCAGACGCACCTGACTCGGCAGATCGCCCGTCGCGACTCAGACCGCACGGTTGTCGGCCCAGATTCCGTTCCTGTTGACCAGTAGACTATCTGGTAAAGCTCAACGCCACGCTCTGCGTATCCGTGCAGTCGAATGACAACGACAGAGTCGAGCGATCAATCCAAGGCGGCTCCCGTAGGCTTATTCACGCGAAAAACGTCGTCGTATCGATCCATCCATCGATCTATCCATCCATCGATCTATCCACCTACTGTACACTGTATCCATCTATCTGTCTCGCTCGAGCGACCGTTTCGCGTGCGTCTGCGATCTTCAAAGGACGTCGATTGGACCGAGTGCTGCATGAGCGCGCTGCCCCCGACGTCCTGTGTATCCTCCCCGCCCAAGCCGGTACGCCGTCGAAAAGTACTGTTGCTCGCCATACATGCGTGTGTTCTAGTCGATGCTGCGCGATTACGTGGCGCTCGCATTGCCCGAGGTGGCCAAGTCATCGCCATATGCAGCCCGCTACAAGCGCAAGCTCAAGAAACCACCAGCGGTCTTGGCCCCACTGCGCAAGCATAGCGCCACGCACGCCATCGCCGTCGCCGAGAGCCGCGTTGTCAAAGCCATTTTATCACGCGCCGACCTAGTGCAAGAGATGCGTCTTCTCTGTCGCGAGGCGTCAAAGGTCGACCGACCGACCGCCACCAGCGAGTTGGCGAGACGCCTCGGTGACGCAACCAACACTGCCGTGCTCACGCTTCTCGAATGGCGCGCGGCCAAACGCGAGACGGCGGCGCACGCCAGAGCCCCCGCAACACCGAGCTTTCGATGGCAGGGCGCGCCGTACCTAACCCTTCTAGCCCGTGAAACCTTGGACGTCCACGCGCTTCTCAACATATCGACGCCACCCAACCCATTTTTTGTATCGTGCGAGCTCGAGGCCGTGGCCGGTTGCTACAAAGCGGCGGCTGACAGTCTCTTGCAAGACGCGGACTTTCTATTGGGCTGGCAGCCGCCGTGTACAAAGGACGCGGTGGAGCATGTCATACCGACGAAGGGTCTTCTCGACCACGCGCTTAACGCGCTCTCCCCTGCAGCGATAGCCCAGATCCAAGCGGTCGTCCACCCGCCCCGTGGCTTGCACTGTGTGACGGACGCCATCACATCCCTTGTCGGCATGAGCTTCTACGAGACCCCACCACGCGTGCTCCTGCACCGACTGCGCGCTTCGGATCAAATGTTACCGAGTGCGCTGACAGAGATCGCGGCCACCTTGCTTGGCGAGACCGCATGGCTCCCCAGTGTCCTACTGCGAGAGAGCCTTGGTATGGCGCAACTGAGCTTTTGGTTGCTCCAGCTACTGCTGCAGCATCGGCGCTGCCGTAGGCCACTGGAGCTGCCGACTGCGCATAGTTGTCACCCTGCTGTCCGACGGGCGGTGGGAATGGGCGGACGTGTCTACCTGGTGCGCCTACACAGTTCGAACGACACGACCATCACGCTCTGGTCGACAAGCGGGCCAGTGCTCACGCACACACTACACGCTGCCGACGGGCGGTCGATGCGAGCGCAGCCGGCGCTACTCGACGCTTACGTGGCGCGACTGCAGCCGCTCCTGCGAATCGCAGCGCCGCACTGCGACGCGTCGCCATCGTTGCATCTGGTCGGTATACACGGCACCGACACCATTGTGGCTTCCGTCGATCTCACGGCAGCTAGCTCGTATGCCGACGTCCGTCGGTTGCTTCTCGACCTGCCGGTACAAGCTGTCGTAGGGACACTTTGTTCTACTTTGTTATGTTATAGAAAGTACCGCAGCCGTATGCGTTCCTGTATCGCGGCAGCATCCTTGGACGTGCGCTGGAGCCAAGTCGGCGCCCGTGGTGTATCTCGCCGCCGCGTCGCATTGATATTCAGTTGCAGACGCGACAAGAGACGCGTCACCATGTGTTTGTGCCAACTGCGATAGACAAACACTATAATTGGCTCTTCCCCCACGAGATCTCGGACATGGACCGCGATATCGAAAAGCGCGACGAAGCGCGGCGGCAACGGGCCGCGGCGTCGCCCCCGCGCACGCACTGCACGCTCACACTCCACGTACTCGTCACCTTTGCAAAATGCTTCACCATAAGTTGTCGATAGGTGGACATTCCGTCTGCCGTGCTCACCGTCGACGTACGTGCCACCGTTTCGACAACGCTGCAGGACGTTCTGGACGCGCTGCGATGCGAGGTACTGTTGCCTCTCGAGATTCGAGGATGACACATTGTCCATTCTTCTCACGTAGCATGGGATCGACGCTGCGTCGACCCACGACGTGTGCGTCCTGTCAACCCCGCATACGATACTGCCGATCACAACACGACTGAGTGCAGCCAACATTGGACACGGCAGTGCTCTCAGCTTGCACCACCGGCGCGTCGACGTAGCCCTTGTGTGCGCCGGCACACTCACGGTGCTTTGCCCACCCGACACGCTTCGTTGCAGCCATAGCGCTATGGTACGCGGCATATCTTGCATATGACGTGATCGATTCATTCTTGACGTAGACGCAGGCGCGCTTTAGCCACTGGCAGCTCTCGCCGGGCGATTCTTTGTCACTCGATGGTGACACGTACACCGTCACGGCCGTCAACATGGCGGCTGGTACCGTCACGGTCCATCCTGCCGTCGTGACGGACGACCGCTGGGACCTACTTGGCACCAAACATCTGCGCCAAGTGCTCGTGGACCCTCGGTTTCCCTGGGAGCTCGATGGCCGCATGGAGCAGTACCTCGCATCGCACGTGGCGAGTACCGCGACGACAACGCAATTCAGCGTCGAGCTATGCACGCGCGTCTTGCTAGAGACAGTGGCGTCCCAGCTGCACCTCGTCCAGGTACGTCGTCGTTTTCGTAACCTTTGTATGGACGATGGCCACTCGTAGGCAGCGGTGCAGACGCTCCCGCTCGACATTTGCGTTGGTATCCTCTACGACGACCTCTGCACCACCTTTCCTGTCACCCACGGCGTCACCAACGTCAAGTTCTCATTGTTCCTCAAGAGCTACCGGCTCCACACGGTGCTGCTCCTCACTTCGGCTGCCAGCGTCCACGCCTACTTTTCACTGCATTTGCGACCGCATCAATCGTCGCTTCTGCTGCCCGACTGGAAAACGTGCTTGGTGGCGATGGCGCACAGTACGTACAAGCACGTCCCGGCCGCGCACCCGCCGCCCAAGACGCCCAACGACGCAATCGCCTTCTTCATCTACGCGTGGGTCCTTGTGCAGGGCCCTGTGGCCGTGCAACGCCAGTTGTTGTCTCGAGCGACCGAGATGGCGCTACGACGACTGGGCCGCCGCCTCTGTGCTGTCGTGCGACTGCAGGCGACGCATCGCGGCTACCGCGCCTTTACTCAGTAACGAGCAACTATATGGGATTTGGGAGCGCGCGGCTGATGGTGTGGCGGTAGATTTCGCCTCTTGCGCTGGCGAACGATACGACTGCAAGCGCTCTGGCGCTGCTACGCCCAGCGACGTCGGTACCTTGTGCAGCTTGCTGCCCACCACGCGAGACTCCGGGCCGCGCTCGAGATGCGAAGCGCTCTCGTCCTTGTCTGCTTTGTGCGCCGAAGTCTCCGACGCAAAGCCGTTCAAGCCCAAGTACAGCGGGACCGACAAGTGCGCGCGGAGAAAGCAGCGTTCTGGCACGACCGCCGTCTTCGCCGGCGGCGCCATGAACGTCGGTGGACCGGTGCGATCACGGTCTCTACCCACAGACACCTCAGCACTAGACTGCTCGTGTCCCTGCACCGCGACGCGCGCCAGCCCACCGTCGCAACCCTCTCGGCGTACAACCCTATCACGTCGGCTGTCTATGTCCTCCACATTTCCACGTCGCTATTGACCGAGCATCTTTGCCTGCCAGCGTCCGCGTCGATGGCTCTGACGCTAAGTGCATTGACTCCGCGGCTGCAGCTCGTGCCTCCAAGTACCCTGCGCCTCTCGGTCAAACCCGTGACGTACCGGCGTGGCGAGTGCGTCCACTTTGGCGTCTGGTGCTTTGAGCCGGCCTCCGTTGGGGCTCCGCCTGCATCGCCACCTCTGTATCGCATGATTGTCGAGGCGTACCGCACCACGGGGCTCGTGACCCTTCGCATCTACAACCCACGGTCTGGCATCGTCCTCAAGCTGCGTGATGTCATTCCTGCAACGGTGTAGAGACTCGTTTGTGTGGCAGACGGTGCAACCATACCGATCGCCCACCGATGTGATGACGGTGCGGCATCGTCATCGATCTCAGTTGCCATAATTGTCTTTTCTAGTACCTCCACCGACTGCATGTGATTGCAACGGCGGAGGGCGGCTACACACTCGCCACGACCGACGACGTCACAGCGGCGGCCAAGGGCCTCGTGGCGCTCGCCTGCCAGTGCCACTACCGGCGCCGTCGCGCACTGCAGCGCGCGATTCAACAAGCGTGCGACCAATGGGTGCGCGTGCAGGTGCGCAGCACGTACGAATATGTCCACCGTGTTTCGGGGTGGTGGCGCACCTCGTCGCCCAAGCTATTGACAATATTTCTATCGTCCTCGACGCCAACACACAGCATGGTCGAGTACCAGCACATTCGCAACACGACCCAATGGTTTGGTGGCGGACCGTACTACATTTACCCTCGGCGCGCGCGACGCGTGCGGTTGTCGCTTCCGGACGCCGCCGTCGTGGTGCAGGTAGAAAAAGCCACGTCTGGTCGCGCTCGAGTCGAGTCTGGTAGATCTGGTTTCGCCACCAGATGTTCAACCACAACTTTCGCCAGTGCGTGCGGGCTCTTGCTCACACCCAGCGCTTCGACAACCAAAAGCCGACATTGCCGATCGCGGTGCACGATCTCTCAACCTTGCACGTCGCACTCGCCACGCACTTGGGCCAAGTAGACAGTGGTATGCCCTTACTTGTCTCCTGATGATGTACTAGCTCGAAGCGCGGACGCATGCCGCCTTGCTCTACGAGTACGCCATGCGGCTCTGTTTCTCGCAAGAGCGCAGCCTCGCCGACACGGCGCTTGTGCACTGCTGCGCCAGTGCCTTCTGGCTCGCGACCGAGACGGCGCCACATTGGCGGCGGTGGGCCCACCTCCAACTCCAGCGCTACGGTCGCCATCTCCACCGGCCGTCGGTCGACTCGATCGAATATCTCTTTTACCAGACGGCCTATCTGCACCGACCGACGCACCCGCTGGTGCTCGAGAGCTTTGCTGTCTTTTTAGATCGTGTGAGCCATCGACCGGGTCGGGCGCTCGATGTATATACGCAGGCGCTGGCGCGGTCGCCGTCGCCAATGCTGTTGCTCGTACTCTACGACCTTGTTGGCTGAACACTGAATATGCTGGTCTAGAACTATGCAGCATTTCGAATGCGATACCCGGCGCTTACACCCGTGTCAACTGTGTGGACGGCCAAACCGCTCGGCGCCGACGGCCTTGTCGAACCTACGTACCCCACGCTGACGGTGACGCGGCGTCTCGAGGTGGCGGCAGCCGTGCTACAGGTACAACCGACTCGGTTATTGGAGAAGAGGTCTGGACAAGCTTTAGCGCTGGCTCCGCAAGAGGACGCAGCGGTACCTCTTCTTTCCGACGCTGACCGAAGCGGTCTGGGCACTGCAGACCAACACGTTTGCCGAGGCCCGGTACATTGACGACCGGCACTCGCATCGGCGCATGCTGACAGTCGCTCTCCACATTCATTTTGTGCTGGTACAACGTCGACGACTATAGAATTCATTTGTGATTTACTAATTAGACCTAACCCTTATTTACCCTAGCATGATGCTGACCGCGCCAAAGCGCTCTACCACACCCTCTTGACAACGACCCCGAACGAGCCTCTAGTTCGTGGGGCTTTGCTTCTCGATGCGTTTGCACAAGCGTACTTGCCGCAGGCGATGACGCTTCAGTTGCAGCAGCTGCGACGTCAGCGCATCGATTGGTCTCCGCTCGAGATGACGTCGCTGCGATTTGCTGTCGTGACGCGACCGCACGCGTGTCGCACATGGCTCTACTATGGTCTCTACCGCCAGCTCTTTTGTGACGACGTCGACGTGGCCGAGCGGCTCCTGTGCCGCGCCTCGCGCCTCGCGTCGACGCCGACCGAGTCGGCTCAAACCCACGCGGTACAACTGCAATATCGGGGAGATCTCACAGCTCGTAGGTCTATCTTCGTTTCCAGCGCCAGCGCATGCTGGGAGCACTCTGGTCGGGCCAAGGGCCGTCGCGAGGCTTGTATTGGAGCCAACACTCGCGCGCGATCGCCCGCATCGACGTCTGGTACCGCATGGAGCACCACGTTGAGCGCCACCCAGGCCAAAGCCGGCTGCGTCGTCTTTTTTTCTGGTCGTTGTGGGATCGAGCTCATGCGGTTTGACGCTGACACTAGGGTCCACGCACCGACGGGCCAACGCGTGTGGGAGCGACTGCTTGCGAGCGCACCCCATCGCGCTACAATGTCGCCGGATGTTGCCGCGGCTATGGACACAATCGTCGCATGTGAAGCGCAACGCCGGGCCGTGGAGACGCTGCAGGTACATTGTATCAACATTTCAAGTTGGCCATGGCTTTGCATTAGACTTGGTGCCGGGTATGGACGCAACGCCGGCACTATTTGGGGTACCGTAGTCTTGACGACTACTTGCCACAACCCGCATCGGAGTCCTTGCGGCGCGCCCTCGGCCTTCACTTTGAGCTGGTGCGTACTTTCTTCTTCGATCCGTTGACGACACATGCGTCACCATTAGGGTCGGTGGCGCGACGCCCAAGCCCTCTACACGGCGGCGGTGTATGCAGATCCAACCGACGCACTCGCTGTCGGTGGTCTCTTGCTCGTGCTCGGGGCGCAACGCCAGTGCGAGAAAGCTTTGCGTTGGCGACGGCACTGGCAAAGGTTGGCGACGCGCGCCGACGCTGCCCTGCTGCTGCTACTGCACAGCCAAGCGGCTCTCACGGCCCATCCTTGCATATGGTGGGGCAGGCTCAACTACGCTCTCTGCTTGCAGTACCTTACGCCGCGGCTGGACGTGGCCGAGCGCGTCTATAGCACTAGCCTTTTGAACTTTCCTGCCGCCAAGTCTACTCTCTCCGAGGTATTGCGGTTCCTACCATCGAACGCGGAGACACGCGCGACTAGATGCACCAACGCTTTCTACATGCACGGCGGTGGCGAGGACCACTGCAGGGGACGTCGCCCTCCTATATGCTTGGTGCTACCAAGACGCTTCTCGTGTCGCACGATGCGGCGGATTCATTGGCTCCGTGGACGCGCTGCCACGTTGACCGCATCACGTTCTGGTCGTTATCTACGTCACGTGTCGTGAGGCTCATGGACAGTGCAGGTACAACACCAAGACAGAGCGCTATCGATGGCATTTGCCCGAGGCGGTGCGTCGGCGTCATTGGCAGCTGGCGGCGCGGCGGCTCCAAGCGTGGTACCGGCGGTCGTGGGCGAGGCCTCTCTTTGTGTGGACGTCTTCGCCCGCCCGCCTCTCGGGTGCCAAGTCCCTTTGGGACACCTTTGCGTCGATCGAGCAGCTGCTGCAGTCGTACGGAACCGAGACGACGGCGCGGGATCCTGTACAGTTGCGCTGTGGAGGACTTGCGGCAGCGCTCGAGTTGCCGCGCTGTGACGCCGCCCGCGTCATGCTCACGACAGCGGCCAGCCTGGATCCGACGACGGCAACGTGGCAGCTCCTCGGAGACGTCGTCGCTTTCGCGCGCGTTGCCAGCCCGACGAACGGCTTGGCCCTTTTCGTATCGGGCGTTGTGCACCAGTACATTTCCGATTTGCCCGTGCTGGCAGTACGCTACTACTGGCGCGCACTCGCAGTCGCACCAGCGCTTGCCCCTCTGGTGACGGAGGTAGAAACGTCGGCCTTTGCATGTTGTCACATCTGCTGGGTAGCACGAGGGGCATCTGGCGTCGACGTCTGCGTACAAGATCGTCTCGCTCCGTGCAAACGCACACATGAGTGCGACGGTATTTGCGACCGGGCCACGATCTATCGAGCGACGGCGGGTACTCGGAGCCGCCTTCTCTTTCTACTGGTAGCTGTGCTCGACCTGGGAGCATGTTCTAATTGCGTAGGTGGGATCGTGTCGCCCGCCGGGTGTTTCTAGCGCCAAAGCGTCTTCTCTACTGCGCTCCGATCGCGGCGTGCACGCTCGACGAGCTCGCAACGCGCCTTCAAGTACGCCTTCCCTTTGCCACTCTCGTCGACTTGACGTGTAATTGCATAGCGCTGGGTTAAGCAGCATGCCATTGGCACCCATACGATGGCGACGCGCTTGTACCACAACTTGGCTTTTCTTCAGCCTCCGGCTGCGGACGTCAACAACGACGACGACGATGAAATGCTGCAGCTCGTCGCGCACGGCTGGTCTCAGTCGCCTGTTCGTGTCGACTCGCTTATGATGGTATATTAACGATGGCCGTGTAGTCGGAATGGCTCTCGCGCTTGGCCGCGGCCCAACTACGGTCGTCCAGCACGACTGAGCTGCAGCTATGCTTGGCACTGGGCTCGATTCTCGATACGCGCACGCTGTTTCTACCTCGGGCGGTGCGCATCTTTCAGTCGCTTCAAGCTGCAGGAACGATGCGACTGCGCGAGTTGAAGCTCTGGCGCGCACTCGCGTGGCACTTGGTGGGCAACCCCCGCCATGTCGACGCACTCGTTGCCGCTGGCGTCCTTTGCTACCACGTGGCCAAGGACGTCCGGGAAGCGTACAACTTCTTTAGCAAAGCGCTCGATATCGAGCTCACAACGGTGCCCACGGTGTCGCCTTGTTATGAGGTACAGTGTCGACAACCGCGCGGTGAATACGAAATCATCGGTGTGATATAGTGGCTATACCAGCTTTTGGCGCGCGACGGCTACAGGTTGCGCTACGCCGGGCCGTCCATAGCTATGCAGGCGCAGGCGCGCGTTGTCCTCTCGACAACCAGTACAAAGCGGCTCGAGATTCATATGGCGGACGCGCGCACGCTGGGCTTCTATGTGCACATCGAACAAGTCTTCTGGCGACTCCCAGCTGCGCTTCAAACCCAGTTTAACGCGGAGCGCTGGGATGTGTCGGCGCCTCGGCACTTTGCTGCGGCGGCGCTGGTCGCGGTAAACCCTGAATTTGCAAACAGAGGCATACGACTTGGATAGCGCTGGTGGCGACGCCGCATGTGCATTTACTACCATGTCATGCGTCGCTTTGCGCCGTGCTTGCGTACCGCCGTGGGCTTGGCGAGAGACTACGTGCGAGAGGCCGACGCCATGGCGCCGCTGGAGCGTGCGCTCTACGTCCTAAGCTTTCTCGGGGATACTCAAGAGGCGCAAAAGAGCTTGGAAGTACTCATGCGTGAGACGCCAAATGAGCCTCTGGTGCTCTACGGCCTCGCCCTTAGCCTCCTGCAGTGCGATACAGAAAGCCTCGAGGTCTGGCCGACCTTGCAACCAGGCGAAAGAACCATGTGAACGCACTAGGTCCCGCAGCAAGTACGCGACCTCCTCGTGCGCGCCGCCGAGCTCGATCCGAGGCGAGAGGTACTACAGGCGGCATGGCGCACGTACTTCGCGCCCGCCCTCCGAGTGCACCCCGATACTGCGCTACCGTGTGCTCTGCTCTTGAGCGAGTTTGTCAAGGGCCCAGACCATGTCGTGGCTGCCACTTATCGCTGGCTTTGCCGTCAACGCCACGTTCCGTGGTCGGTGCATGTACGCTCAACAGCCCTCCTTCGGAAATGAGTGTAGTGTCGTAGCATTATGTGCGTCACCTCGTCGAGTCGCGCGACGGCGGCTGGCATCCCCGCGGCGGTCCTCCTCGCCATCGGCTCAAGTACTCGCTGCGCCTATCGACCGTGTTGCACTGTCCGTCATGGTCGTTGTACTTGGACCCGACAGCGTTGCACCAGTGCTTGCAGCTCTACTGGTATACAACCTTCTACAAATGGCGCAGTCGACTCGTGTCGCTAGGTACGATGCGACGTCGAACTTGACGTACTGGACACCGCCCGCGTCGTCGCATCGGTCGCACGTCCCCGCGTCTCTGGCGGTGCAGCATGCCATGGCGCGGCGGTTACAGGTCGGAAAGTATCAACTTGATGTGATTTGCATGACGTGGCACGTTGCAGCGCTTGTATCGGCGCTACGTGCGACCCATTGTGACGGTGTCGCTGTATTATCTTGTGCAAGCGCTGAAGTACCATGCCACGGTCGAGGCCAAGTACAAGGCCGAGCCAACACGTGCGGCAGCGATCATCAACTACACGCTACACGTACATACCTTCCAGGTACCTTGAAGCATACTGAACGCCATGGTCTTACGTTATTGGAAGCGCAATGGCCGCACCACCAAGGCGCTGTACCGTGACGCGCTAAAAGTGAGTGCCCACCCCGTCCTTTCGTGCGCCTACGCCATTCACCTGCTCGCGACGTGCCAAGCGCCACGGCTGCACACTCTCGCAGAGGCGAATCAGCGCATTGCCGACGCCAAAGCTGCAACCAACGACGCTCGCTTCTTTTCGTTGGCCCTGCACGCCTTCTTCCACTACGCGGTCCTCTACGATCCCAACGACCCAACGGCATGGCTTCACTTGGCGCTGGTGTTGGACCACATCTACGACGACGTCGACCGCGCTGAAACGTGCTTTCTTCAAGCGCAGACGCTGGCGCCTTCAGACCCTTGCATTACCGAGGTCCTCGAGTCGATCGCACTATGCTTTTTTACCTGCTACTAGAACTACACTGCGTTTCGCGCCGCACTGCCGCGTCGTGACGGACCGACGCGCCGGCTACAGCAGCGCGCTAAGTGCGTTCTCGCGTTGAGTGCCGAGTGGCACTACATGAAGCTTTCGTCCGAGGACGTCGCGGCCAGCAGCGCGCTCTCACGCTTCTTTTGGTGCGCATCTCGACCCAACAACAGCACGTCATGGGGCGTAGGTACAACCGTCTTCGCGCGCGGGCGTACTGGCGGCTGCCGACCGCGCTCGGGCCGTTGCTGCGCGCCACAGCGAGTCGACGTTCGCGTGTCGAAGCGTGGTCCACCGTCATGGATACGTATGCTACGCGTCTCCAGGTGCGCATGCGCATGATTCGGCAGGTAAAAAGGGCAGTGTGTAGCGGTCAATGCGGCGCTGGCTGTTTTTGCAACGGGGGCTTCTGATGCACCCCAAGGATACGACGGCGCGCGCTACTCTCGCGGCGCTCGATGCCTCGCCCTTGCACCGTGCATTACGAGCGCATTTTATCGAGGTACAAAGCCGCTCGGCCATCGGCGGTTTGCAACACAGTGCGCTTAGCTCGACGTGGTGTCGGCCCGAGGACTCTACGAGCCGCTAATGCGCACGCGACAGCCACCCGGCGTCGCCCTGTACGCTTACAGCCTCCTCCTGCTCAGTCAGCGCGCATCGAGCGACCAAGGACGCGCGTTAATGGCGCGGGCAACTGCATCCTCGACGCCGCCTTCGATGCTGGCCTGGCTCGGCCATCTCTTGCGCTGGAGCGTCGTGCTATGGCCAAGTCGCAGTACGGCGCTCGTGCAAAGTAGCCTCTACCACGAGCTCGTGCTCGGTGATCTCGGGGCCGCACGCTTTCTCTTGGCCAGGGCTCTGCGCCTTGACGCCAACGACGCCTATGTGGTAGGCTGCCTCAAAGATATGTTGCTAGGATGGCTTGCATTTTGCTGCTAGTTGGACCGACTTGCTGCGGTGGACGCGGCGCGACTGCGCGTTGGCAGTCTTCCGCTGCAGACGGCGCACGCCCACTCGACGGTGGTTGGCCTCTGCGGCCACTGGCAAGAACGCGCTTGGGCGCTGTCGCCCCACCAGCACGTGCGCTACTGGTACTGGATCATACAATGCGAGAAAGTGACACCACGCGGATGTCTTATGGTGGTTAGGGTCCACGTCGTAACGGGTCAAACGACGACAACGATGCCTTAGACAACACCTTGGCGGAACATGGCTTGCGCGACTTTGAGAAAGCCCGTCATGTTGGTCGCCGTGTGCCAGTTGCCGACGCAGTTGAATTCGACCGCGGTCGCCGAAATGGACTTGAATACCTTTTGCATGCACTCTACAGTATCAATCTATCAACCTCGTTTTTTCAAAACCAAAGTCCAAGACGGACCTTGCGCGATCGCGTCGACGTCGTCGAGCGCCAAGTCGCTTCGTCCCGCAACGCCCTTGAGATGCAGCGCCAGCTATGCAGCAACGTCCAGAGACGCTGTCGTCGCAGAGCATCAACGTACCGCGGCGCCGTTTGTGGCTTTGCACGGAGCAAAGATCACGTTGTGCTGCTGGAACGTCTTGATGGCCTGCGCAGACAACATGTCCTTTTTGACAGTCGACATACGCGGTGGCGTCGTACCTCGGGGGTGCACGGCAAGTGCGCGCCTTCAAAGACGCCCTTGCAGCCGTTCTTGACGAGCTTCTTGGCCGACACATCTAGACATATACACATATTGTCATCGTACGCTATGTATCAGCTAACCGTTGATGTCGTATTGCATCGCGCACGGAAATGCGTAGTCGCACGGGTGGTCCCAGAACGACGTCTCTTCCGACGGGTAGTACTTGGCGCTGGTCGACGTCATGATGTAGCCGCCGAGGCGCGCCGTGTGCTCCGACTTGATGTCCTTGAGCGTCTGCAGCTGCGCCTTGGAGAACCCTTCCTTCGTCATGAGCTACATCGTACACGTATGGGTCATGTACCCTCTGGCTCAATGACGTGGCCCCAGACGTCGCTAAAGCCAATGGGAATCGCGCCGAGGTCGAGGAGCTTTTCGGCTGTGTGCAAGGCGACGGTGCCCGAGCCCGAGACGAGGCAGCGCTTCCCAACCAACGACTCCTTGGCGTCTTCCACGAGGATCTTGGCAAAATGCGCAATGCCGTAGCCCGTGATCTGCGGAAACGAGTGGCCACCGAGGACACCGTCGACGCCCTGTTTCCATGTCAGCATCGCACCGGCATATATGCGGTGGCGCGTACCGCGGGGTGCATTTGTCGCAGGCGCTTGTACTGCCCAAACATGTAGCCCATCTCCTTGGGTCCGACGTTGACGCCGCCCGTCGGAATGTCCGAGGCCGGACCAATGTAGTTGGCGAGCTCCGTCATGTAGCTTTGGCAAAACCGCATGATCTCAGCCTCGCTTTTGTCGAGCGGGCTAAAGTCGGCGCCGCCGGCCGCGGCCCCAAACGGTCCGTAGACTGCATTGCGAAACACATTTTCAAACGCGAGAAACTTGACTGTCCCGTGGCGGCAGTCGCCGTGGAAGCGTAGCCCGCCAATGTACGGCCCTAGACCACCCATGAGTCGCGTCACGTTCGAAGGAAAGGGCTACCGCAGCAGCTCGAAAACTGAACGCGGAACCCGCGGTTGACACGGCGACTGCCTTGGTCGTCGATCCAGGGCACGCGAAACTACGCAGGACAACCATGATGGGTCCTTGCCACTCCGTGATGGGCGATACCTGGATGACGCGCTCGGGCTCCATGAGCTGCTTCATGACCCACGCGTACTTGGGATACCGGTCCAAGACGGGCGTCACCGAGTGCACAAAGCTCTGGACAGCGTCCAAAAACCTACATCGCCGTTGCTTCCTCGTGCAACGACAAGGACGTCGACGATCGCCACGTACTCGGTCTGGTACGGGTCGCGCCGCGTGGCCTCTTCGTACCTACATGCGCCACCATCTGCATCGTGCTGGACACGCACATGTGAACGTACAGCATGACGGCAGCTTCGGCGCCGGACCGAAACTTCTTGTCGCCTTCGCGGCGAAAGAGCGGCTGGTTGCGCCACGCCTTCTTGCCATGCACCGTGCCATGGACGTCCGACATGAGCGTCGGCGGCTTGGCGTCGGCAAACCCGCGCAGGCGCCCCACACTTGCTCGCAGCATTGGGGAAGAAGGCAAGAAGATCGCAAGTTGCGTAATGACACACGTTCCTCATCGCTCCAGTTCTTATCGCTCGGCAAATAAGATACCAGATCTGGTCCGACTTTCATGGGATTGGTCGATCGGAAATCTTTTTAGCCAATCACCGTAGCTTGAAGTTGCGATGGAACGGCAACTTGGCCACAAGAATTTCTGTCGTGTCAACACCAGACAGCAAACGACGATGGCCGACACCCTCCTGACGCTGAGCAACGACCTCGAGGGCCGCGACAAGCTCACCAAGCTCACGCAGTACTCGACGCGGGCGATCGCCTACTACATCCTCGCCGCCGACCCCAAGAGCGTCCTCGGGCAGCAGCTCACGGCGCTCTTCAAGGCCACGCAGTCGGCGCGCAAGGCCTTCCGCGTTGGCAAGTCGTTCAACTATGGCTCCAAGATCTCGGCGACGCTCAACAACAAGGTAAGCGTGCGAAGGCGCGTAGCGTGGCGCTCACGGCGATGCGTAGGCGGTCGCGCCGTACCAGCGCAACCTACAGCTCGTCCAGGACGTGGGCATGGTACGCCGATGCTGCCTTCGACGTCCTCATCGCGTGGTTGCGTCTAGTGCACGTTCTTCCTCTTTGACAACGCAGCCTTCTTTGGCGCCAACAAGGTGCTCAACATCGACACCGCCGAGGCCATGAAGCGCGGCGGCTACTTCTGGTACCACGTCCCACGGCTGGCCGATCGACGCGATCGACGGATAGGTTCTGCGCCAACGTCGCCGGCTTTGTCCTCGCGTACGAAGCGCTCAAGCAGGTCCGTCAGTATCCTATCTGAACGGGGTGCTAACGCTGTACGACCAGGAAACGGACAAGGAGACGGACCTCCACAACACGCTCGCCGCCAAGAAGGCCGACAACGTACGTAATTGCTCACGAGAGATGCGCATCGACAGCGTGCCTAGTCGCTGACGCCCGACGACGCGCAAGCGCTGCTCGCCGAGATCGACGCGGTCCAGAGCGCGCGCTGGAAGAAGACGCTGACGCTACTCAAGTCGACGTGCGACCTCATCGTGTCGAGCAACACGGCCGGCGTCCGGCTGCCCGAGCGCATCCTCGGCAAGAAGCTGCACGACGGCATCATCGGCGCTGTCGGCTGCGTCTCGGCGTCGGTCGTCTTGTACAACATTGTCCACAAGAAGAAGTAAAGCGTAATAGACAACTTGTGGTGGTGGTCGAGGGTGTTAAATAATGGTGGTGCTCTAACTACTAGGTCGAAAGAAGGAGGCCGTCCCAAACAGCTCCACGTCTTCGCGGAATTGCGTGTCCGGTGCGAGATCGACCACAATGTCCCGCTTCAGCTTCTCCCTCTCCTGTGCCCGCTGGCTCGCCAGCGCCTTCTCTTGCTCCCGCAGCCGCGCTTCCCGCGCTGCAATCTCGGCCGCCGCTTCGTCGGCCTTCTTCCGCTCTGCTTCTTCCCGTTCCCGTTCCATCTCTCTCATGCGTGCTTCCATCTCCTTTTGTTTCTAGAGACCATGGTATGAGCCATCGCAGCATGTACAGCGGTCGTCTACCTGTTGCGCCATGTCGTCGGCAAACGACTGCGAGTCCTTGCGCTGTTCCTTCTGGAGCTTCTGTTGTTCTTCGGCTTGGGCCTTGAGCCAGAGCGAGCTCGACGCGTGCTCGTTCGACTGGATCGGCATCGGCCCCGCCGCGTCCATCGAGGCCAGCTTGGTCCACGCGCAGTGGTTCTCGACCTTCAATGGCTCGGTATCGCCCTCCACTGCACACACAGATTAACCTACCACACATATGAGTGCCATGCTTACCCACGGCGCTGCCAATCTCCGCAGAGGAGGTCAGAGCAGAGGCACTTACAAGTGGAGGCGACTAACCACACAACAGATGAATCATCCAGGAGGCCCACGCGCATCTAGAAGTGGTAGCTAGAGACCTTTTGCAAAGGCCGCTCCGTGTCCGAGTCGCTGCTGTCCGAATCGTCGTCTACATCAGCCCATGAGCTTCGTTGCACTGGATCGCAAGGATGACGTACCCGACGAGCTCGAGCTGTCCGACGAGCTGCCCGACGAGCTGTGTTCAATCGTCGGGACCGGCACCGGCGCGGCGGCCGCAACAACTTCTTGCGGCGGCACATACGTCTCGCCCTCAATGGCAGCGAGCTGGCTCTTGAGTTGCTCGTGGCGCGACTTGACCGACTCGGCGACTTCCTTGGCGTACTGCAGGCGGCTCTCCGAGGCACCCTTGACGCTGGGTCGCTTGGCAGGGCGCTTGCGCTTCTTGGCAATGTTTTGCTCCTACGCATCGAACGCCATGAGCACACGATGCTCAGCGGGTGATGCGCGTACCCGGACGTAGCCTTCAATCATGCGGAGGCAGCGCGTGTCAAACATGTTGATGTCGAGCTCGACCTCGTCGTCGCCCTGCGTGATCGTATGCAGCGGCACCGTCTCCGAGATGATCTGCAGCACGCGCGAGAGCTTGTCTTCCGGGAGCTCCTTGAGGTCGGCCGTGAGCTTGTGCTTCTCGGTCGCCGTCATGGGTCGCGAGAGGTACTCTTCCGTCATGTCTTGCATCTTGAACGGTCTACGAGCAGGTGCCATGAGCCACCATTGCTGCTAGCAAGAGACTACGCACCGAGGTTTCGTCGACTTGATCGGGTTGCCACCAATCGGCGTGCCGAGCGGCGGCGTACCCTTGCCCGACGCCATCTCTTGCACAATCACCTTCATCTTCTCAATCTCTTGCTTGAGCGACTGGATCTCTTGGTTCTTGGTGAGCGACGCGCGCTTGGACTTTTTCGCGCGGTTGCTGTCGACCGAGCCCTCGCCGTCCGACGTGTTGCCGTGCTTGCGCGACTTGGCGGCCGCCGACTCGTTCTTGAGGAGGCTCTTGTACTTTTTTTCAAAGTCGTCGAGCAGCTTGTGCGCAAAGACGTACACCTGCGTGTGCGGCGCGTTGTACAGCATCGCGTTCGTAAAGACGAGCCGGACGTGGCTCGCAAAGTACTCGGGCTCGGCGTACACGCCGTACTCAAAGTTGGACCGGATCGTGCCAAGGTCCATCGGGTCTTTGATCACGTTGAAGTAGTCGGGGATCCCGAGCGCGACGGGGTCAACAGGCACGAGAAAGGGCAGCGCCTTCGGGTTGCCCATGAGCGTCTTCAGCGTCCCGAGGCACTTGCGCATGATTGGCGCGCGGTCGCGGTCGACGCCGGCATCTTCGCGCAAGTGGGCGGGGATCACGCGCTTGCGCTCCGACCGATTCCGTGACGAGATGAGAGGCGACGAGTTGCCCGACGAGATCGAAATGACCGACGAGAGCTTCGTGTGGGGCACAATGACGTGCGTGACTTCAACGTCCGGCGTGCCGGGCGCCGACGAGTTGTACTCGGACATGGGCGTCGAGCCGGGTAGCGCCTTCTTCTGCTTTTTCAACGCCGGTGCCTTCGTGGCGGACGCGGGCGCGGGCTTGGGGCGCGTGCGCTTGGCGACCGGCGTCTTGTCTTTCGGCTTGTAGGCCTTGTAGAGGCGCATGACCTTGGTCGCGTCATCGAGCACCCCTTGCAGCGTAAAGGCGCCGAACCGGTTCTCGCCGTTGCCGCGCACGAGGTACGCGTGGTCGACGTCGCACTTGTAAAACGAGAGCACGACGTCCTTCTCGGGCACCGTGTTGGGCTTGCCCTTCAACGTCTGGATCTGGAAGAAACCATCGAACGACCGCTCCATGACGACCGTATCTTTCGGCGGCGCATCGTCGGCCGGCGACGGCGAAGCGCGGTTCTCGTCTTCGTCCGTCACGTTGTCGCCGTGGCCGTCCAAGGTCGCACCATGGCCCTTCTTCGACTTCATCTCAAAGAGCGACGTGATGCCATTCGCATACTCGGCCTCGAGCATCGCCCAGCGGCCCGTCCAGAGCGCGGTGCCGTTCTCGTCGACCGTGTACGTGCCAATGAGGACGGGGCAAAGCGTGCACACCTCGGTCGGCAGCAGCTGCCGGGACAGCGCCATCGTGCTCGACGTGAGCGGGATGCTTCCAGGCCGGTCGTCCTCCATGGTTGTCGTCGTCGCCATGCTCGTTGTGTTCATCGTCTCGCCGGGGCCTGCGTCGGCCGTCGGCAAGCTCATGCGTCGGTCGTCGTCCATGGCGGCCTAATACATGGAACAAACAAATACGAAAATGAACGTTCCCGACAAAACCACCCCGAAAACCCAAAACGTCGCGGGCGGACCTCCCATTTTGAATACAACACGGGCCTCCCCCCGGACCCATAGAAAAAACACTACAAAGACGCTGCTTTCCGACCCCAAACCCTAGGGGGTCCACCCCCGCCCCTACACGAAAGCGCAACGATTGGCGCCCACCCGGTCATGACTCGGCCACAGTATGGGCGGTCGCCGCCCGTCGCGCCGCCTGCGCACACACGCTCCGGACGCGACGAGCACGACGCACGCTTCATGGTCGTGGGGACATGCAGGTAGCGGCGACGACGGGCTACGATTCCATGTCTTGGCGCCATGGCCAGGACCCTCGCAGCGCGTAGGGGGGGTCGTCGAAGCCATCGATCGCGGACGCGCGCCGGTCCCCGCGCCTGCAACGCGGCCGAGTTGGCGATTGCAGTCGCCTGTGATTCGGCGGCCGGTCCGTTGCCGGCAGTATACAAACTTCAAGAGAGTCGACCCCGAGCCCTACCTGCATTCTGGGCAACAGCCAATCACGTTGCGGGTGCAGGGGTCCTACGCGTTGCGATTGGCTGAAATTGGCTGGTTCTCGAATCGGACCGACTTCGCGCCGGTTCGACGGTTGGCTGTTTTTTCGCGCGGTGCGTGTTTTTTTGCATTTTCATACAAACACCAAGACGATCTTTTGATTTAAAAAATATCGAACGCGTCTGACGTGGCGCCGCGGGCTAGGGCTTGCAAACGGCTTCTAGATTACACACTTGATGTTTGTATGTCGGCTACGCTACGTGGTTTTTTCTTTTTTCTTGGCGGCTTTCTCCGCCTTCTTTTTTTGGCTGTCCGCCTTTGGTTTCTTCTTGGCGACAGGCGCCACCTTGTCGGTTTTGTCCTTCTTGTCCTTCTTCTTGGGTTTTGGGGGCGACTTTGGCGAGCTCGATGCCGTAGTGGGGTTCTCCTTGCCGACGTCCGCCTTGGTCTTTTTCTTGCCGGTGTCCGATTTCTTGCTCTTCTTAGCACTGGCTTTCTTCTCGTCCGGCTTGGCGCCTTTTTTGTCGGATTTTTTTGGCTTTTTTTTTTTTTTCTTGTTTTGGCCGTCCTTGGATTCGTCATACGTGGCGCGCCAGTTGACGTCCTTGTTGCCGCCCTTCTTGTTGCCGCGCATCTTGCGCCGCATGCGCTTCATCGCGTAGCGCTCCATGGCCGCCTGCTTGCGCCGGCGTCGCCACTCGAGGAAGAGGCCGGCGAGCAGCACGACGCAGAGCGCAATCATGCCAATGATGAGGTTCCACGGCAGCGCCGGCACGTACGTCCAGTCGTAGAGGTTCCGGCCGGCGTCAAAGGTCGACTCGACATTGCCGGCCGCGTCGATCGCGCGGAGCCGAATGCGGTGGTACCCGCCGTCGAGCCACGAGACAAAGTTGATTTCGCCGAGGCAGTCGGTCCAATTCCGCACCTACACGCCGCAGCGACGTCGCCACGAGCAGGAGCATGCAGTGTCGTACCACGAGCATCTCGACGAGGTCAATCACGTGGTACTGGAAGATCGTGCCGGGTTTTGCACTGGTAAACTGAAAGATCGTCTGCGACGTCGACGACTCGGGCGTGAGCGTAAAATAGGACGTCGGTAGCGTCGGATCTGACGCGCAAATGACATATTGTGCGGGATCAACGTGTGTACCTCGGTACCACGCATCGTTCTCAAAGAGCTGGTTGTCGACCTTGCCGCCAAAGACGTAGACAGTGCCATTGTGCACGGTCGACGCGTGCGACGAGCGCGGTGTCGGTGTCCACCGGCACACGGACGCTTGGACGTTCGGGAACGGGTCCTTCGTGTCCACCTACGCCCATCGTATCCTGTGGCACAAGACGACAAGAGGCGCCGTACTTGCGGCACGCTGCCCACATCGGGCCACTTGTACAGCCCCGTGATCCAGTCAAAGACGGGCGTGCCTTGGTGCGCGCAGCCGTCCCACACGCTGTTGGCAGCGGCGGCGGCCGCGGCCGCGGTGGCGGCGGCATTGGCAACCGCGTTCGCGCCTTGGAGCACGCTCACGTTGGTCCACTCGGCGCCGTCGTACCCCACGGGCGCAATGCTACACTCACGGTTGCAAGGTGAACGCGAGGTGTTAGCTGCTTACTTGCACTGCTGGACGACGAGCTTGGCGACTGCAATGTAATCGCAAATCGGCACGTTGTGCATGGTGCGCAGGTCGATCACTGTGTCTGGTGCGAGGCCGGTGAGGTCGGCGATGACCCGAATGTTGGCGGCTTCCAGCGTCGAGACATCGGTGGGGGCCATGCCTTGGAGCAAGGCAACCGAGCTTTGCGGCGTCACATAGACCCGCTGCGTCGTGCTCGGTCCAAAGTCGAGCGACCAGCGCGACGCGTTCGAGGCGCGTGTCCAAACATCCCCGAGGAACACATCGTCGTTTTCACCAAACATGGCAATGAGGTAGCTCTCGTTCGGCTGCGTCACCGGGACGACACTCATTTTCGCGCGGGGCGACCACTCGGCGTGGAGCGCATCGAGGACCCACTCGATGCCATCGACGCTGCGCCACACGTCGTTGCGCAAGCCTTGGTGGGTCGAGCTACGTACGTCGCGGTCGCGGCCGCCAAAGATCCAGAGATGGCCTTCCCACCCGACCATTGCGTGTTCGCCGCGGCCGGTCCACGCCGCGCTCGGCGTCAACTGCACCCAGCGCTGGCCGTCCGGCGACATCCACACGTCGTTCATAAATTTGCGGTAGTTGCCGCCGCACGCATACTCGTTGCCCAACGGCCGCTTGGCGATCTCGGGCCCACAGAGGTTCCGTTGCACCGACGTGTAGCCGCCCGCGAGGTACAACGTGCCAAAATACGACACCACCGTATGGTACTCGCGCGGCGACCACATGTTGCAGACGCAGGTGCCGGTGAGCGTGATCGGGTCGAAGTTGCACTTGCTGTCGCCAAAGCAATCTTTCTGGGTCGTGCACTGGTACGGCTGCCCGCCCGCCTTGTACGTCTCGAGCGCTGTGGGCATCGCGCACCCAATCGTTGCGAGCGACCACGAGACGCCTACGGTACCATAGTCGTTGTTTGCGTGGAAGCTGCCGCACCTGCGTCCTGGCTCTTCCAGACGTCGTTTTTGAGAATCGCATACTCCATCCAGCGCGCGGGACGCGGCGCCATACCGATTGTGTCGGCGATCGGCACGGGCAGTAGCTCCCGGGCGCGGCCGCCAAAGACATACAAATGGTTGTTGAAGGCGAGCGCGGCAAAGTTGCGCCGGGGCGAGAACATGGCGTCGGCAATGTACTCGCCGGGCGCTTTGGTCGGGTCGTCGCAGCCGCTCGGCGGGTACGGGTTCCATGGCGCACTCAAGCACGCAATCCAGTCGCTGTACAGAATGCCCGGGGGCGGCAGCTTCCCCGCGTTCGTTTGGCTCCATGTGAGCTCGGCTACGATCTGCGGCGCGGGCTCGCCCCACTGGTTGAACGTCAGGATGTTGATCGACGTGTTCCAGACTAGGAGGCGCATGAAGGCTTGGTATGCTAAGCGAAGAAGGTACCAATGCCGGTCGTCGCCCACACGTCGTTCCGGAATGAACCTCCGCCCGGATAGGCGCGAAAGTCCTTGCCCATCGTCGCCAGCTGCATGCGGTCGTCGCCGCCGAGGATATAGATGCGACTAAGCTTCCCCGCTGCGGTCTCGGCCGCTGAGAAGAGCTGTGAAATGGCCGCGTGTCCCCAGCGCCGCGTCCACGGCGTGCCCGACTCGATCGCCGCGTTGGTCTGCTTGGTGCCGCTGATTTCAGCCCAGTTGGCTACACCATGAAGATGCACACGTGAAAGACGGTACGTGGCACGTACAAGCATCGATTGGTAAGGCGGTGACGACAAGGCAGAGCACGCCCGTGGTTAGCCGAGGCCGCTTCATGGCGACGGCCGTTTCCGCGTCTGGCCTGTATTTTTAGGTGGCGCACAAGATGGATTGAGTGGCATGATGGGAAGATACACGTCCGTCGATATGGCGGTCGTTCGAGGTACCAAGGAGACGGTCGTTTGGGGCACCAGCCGAGGACGGTGCTGCAGAGGTCGTGTCGGCACCCTGAGGCCAAAGCGACTGTCGTTGGGCGACCGAGCAAGGTGCCAAGGCGGGTCTGGCAATAGCATTCGCCTACGCTGTGCATCGTACTGCCTAGCATGGCTGTCAAGGCGCATGCTGGTCCAGAGCCCTCGCCTGTGTTGGCGCTCGACCTGATCGCTGTGCAACTTCAAGGTTGGTCAGATGCTGGCCAATGATTGGCCGTATATTTTGCAATGCAACCGGACACCGGCGACATGGGCCCGCCAGCAGCCCCGCGCCGCAGCGCGCCGCCGACGCGCAATCGGTCCCGCTCACGCTCGCGCCGTGACAGCCAAGCAGCGGAGCGTCCTCGCAGTGCCGAGCGCAGTGGCGGCCGACGTGGCCATGGCGGTCGCTCGGGTGGCGGCGGTCGAGGTGGTCGTGGTGGGCGCGGTGGGCGTGGCAATGCGCCTCGCCATCCGACGACCGTCGACGTGCTCTCGCCGATCCCCATGTACCCGCGTCCGTACAGCGTGTATAGCGATCCGCCCGCGACCGGCGGGTTTCGCGTCGTTTGCTTCAACGTGCTCGCAGGTAGGTCTGGCCTTGCACGTCAACGCGCCGCATGCTGTGCGTAGACTACCTCGCGGCCGAGAGTCAGCAGCACGCGCGCCCGTACGACGCCTACAAGTTTAGGTACATTACTGCATTCGCCATGGCCAATCGCTTCCATCGCTCTGCGTAGCTGGGCCTTTCGCCGGACGCGGCTCTTGCGCGAGATTCTATCGTGGCGCGCCGACATTATTTGTCTCCAAGAAGTCGATCATTTTGTCGACTACTTTGAGCCTGAACTCGCACAGGTACATTGCCCGTAGAATCGCGCACGTGCCACATCTCTCTCTAGCACGGCTACGTTGGGCGGGCCCAGCAGCGGTACCGTCGCAGTATGTCAACGCACGCATCGTATGACGCGCACACGTAGGACGGGCGAGACGACGCTGGACGGCTGCGCCATCTTTGTCAAAACGTCGACGTTTGAGATGCTCGAGACGGTTGGCATCGAGTACAAGGTGCCGGGGCACGACGTGCTCGACCGTGACAACGTCGCGCTGGCGCTTGTGCTACAGTCCGTGTCGGACGGCGCGAAAATGGTGGTCGCAACGACGCATATTCTCTTCAACCCGCGGGTACGCTCTCGATTCAGCGTACAAATAGCTTGACTTCTCGCTCTTAGCGCGGCGACGTCAAGCTCGCGCAGTGCCAACTGCTCTTTGAGAAGCTGGCGGCGCTCCAAGCGTCCCATGCGTCGGACCGTCTCTTGCTCTGCGGCGACTTTAACTTTACGCCGTGCAGTCCGCTCTACGCGCTCTTTGCGACCGGCGTACTCGACTGCGACCGTCTCCAGCCACCCGACCTCTCGTGCCAAGTTTCGCCCAGCGTACGAGATACACACCATATTTGCTCTCTGGTCGTTGACGCCAAACGCTAGGGCTCGTTCTTTCACGAGCGGCGCCACGTCGAGACCGAAGCCGAATTGCGGCATCACGGCGCCGGCACGGCCGCTGGACGCTTTGACCCAGCGCAGCGCGGCCCCAGTAAGCGGTCGCCGCCTTCGAAATTCAACAAGGCCATTGGCGGCACCGTGTCCCACCCAGTATGTAAAATGGGCGCTGCGTCGGCCTAACTCGGTGGCGTAGTTTGCGCTCAAGAGCGCGTACGCGCAACACCCGACCGAGGCGACGACGGGCGAGCCGCTTGTGACGACCTACCACAACCGCTTTTTTGTAGGCGCCTAGGATGTTCACTGCCTGTCCTTAGTCGATGGCATCTGTAGGGCACGGTCGACTACATTTGGTTTTCGGCGCCGACGCTCCAATGTACGGGCGTCGTCGCGATGCCGGACGAAGCCGCCTTCTTCAAGCGCATCCGCGGCCTCCCGACCCAGTACGTTCGTAGTAGGACGTGTACCTCGTGGGCTCATTCGGGTGCAGGCACGTGTCGAGCGACCACCTCTCGCTTGTGGCCGACTTTGCACTTGCGTAACAGTATCAATGTATTGAGTTGATTGCAAAAATACGACGTTTTGTGTACTCGACCGTTTTATATGGAACGACAGCGGCATGGACGACGACAGGAGCAGCAACAACCACGACGAGTCGGCGTTGGACGAGCTGCTACTCGACGACCCGGCAATGACGCCACCGCCCCACTACTCGACGGCACCCTTGAGCAGCGACGAAAAGCGCGGGAGCAAGCACACCATCTATGATTTTCTCGACGAAGTCGAAATGAAGTCGGTGCAGCAACTGCAGCGCACACCGTCGAGTCCACTGCTGAGCAGCAGCAACCGGATGCCGCCGCTCTCGTCGTCGGGCCGGTCGTCGACGGACTCGAACGTCTACTATAATGACATCAAGGAGAAGCTCGTGACGCTCAACATGGAGCTCCAGGTGCGCGACGACCATCTCTTCGTTCGTGGAGCGATTTGCATGGCGGTGTAGGACAAAACTCAGACAATCGCCTTGCTCCAAGCAGCGCGTCGCAAGGACAAGGCCAAGCACACTGACATGCTCGACGCAGCCGAAGCCAAGTTCAAGGTCCATATTGCTTGGCCAAAAATATGACGTGGCATTTTGCACGTAGGCGCTACTAAAAGAGCAGCAGCTGCAAGCCGAGACAGACATTGAGAAGCACTTGGACTTTGAACAAACGCTTGTCACGGACAAGGTACATCGACGCTATCCGATCTATAAACATGCGGCGGTGTAGAGTGACTTGGCGGCCAAGTGCGAAGCGCTCACAACCGAGCTACGCAAGCTGGAGACGCGGCTCGCTTCCGAGACCGCTGGCTTTGAGCGGCAAATGAAGGATGCCAAAGAGCGCTGGGCCGCGACGGAGAAGACGCGGCGTGACCAATGGGTACCTGTGTCTTACCGCGTTGCATCGTCATACTGACATGGCCATGCGCGTGGTAGATGGCAAAGAAGACGGACGAGATCAAGAAATCGACCATCAAGGCGTTGGAGCCCGACGTGCAAGCCATCATGACCAAATGCAAAGAGACAATTCAAAAGGCTCAGGATGCGGCCGCCGTACGTGCCTCGTCGCTTCATACAATGACGATCGCGGGGGTAGGAAGAGAAGCGGAAGCTCCTGCTCCAATTTGAAAAGGAGAAGGACGAGTACATGCGGCGGGAGCGCGACGCAAACGATAAGAAGCTCATTGAAGCGCGCGAGAAGGAGCGCAGCAAGCTCATGTTTCGCCTGGACGCGGCCGACGCAGAGCTCCAGCAACAACTCAGCGCCCAGCGCCGACGACTGCAAGAGGAAGCCGAGAAGGCCCGCGACGAGATGGTCGCCGAGGTGCGGCAGCTCAAGCTGATGCACGCCAAGGAGCTCGACGAGACGCGCGCGATGGAGCGGCAACGCATCGAGTACGACGTCCAGCAGCTTCAAAGAGACAAGGACGAGGTGTGTATCGCGTGTCGTTGTTGGATGCGATAATCGTCGGTAGATGGCCAAGCGCTACGACGTTGACGCGGCCAATTTGCGCGACAAGTATCAAGTCGACTTGGACGCTATGACGAAAAGCATGCATGCCACGCTCCGCAGCGAGTTTGAACTGGAGAAGCGGCGGCTGGAGCAAGACATGATCGCGGCCCGGGATGCCAAGATCGAGCTCATCCTTGACAAGCTCCAGGCCGAGACGCAGCGCAAGGTCGAGGCGGCCGAGAAGCGTCTAACGCTTCACTTTGAGGCCGAGACCAAAGTTTGGACAACTTGTCCAAATGCTTCTCACCACAAAATGCTAGGAATATCAAAAGAAACTGCGCGCGGCCACCGACATGGAGGTGGCGTGGATGGACAAGAACCGCGATCTCTTTGACAAGTGCGCCAAGCTCGAGAGCGACCGCGAGAATCTCAAGACCAAGTACCACGAGCAAGCGACAGGGCTGCAGACCGCGCACGAACGCATTGCACGCCTCCAGCACCTCCTCGACGAGGTAGACTTCAACACAGGAGCGCAATGGCGTATCCGGTATTGCAGGAACGCGGTCGATTCAGCCAAGACGAGGCCCACCGTGCCCACCAGCTCGGCCAAGCCCGCGACGCGGCCGAGGCCGAGCGCCAGCGCCTCTCCGCTGTCGTGGACGATCTCCATGCCAAGCTCGACGCGGTGCGAGCGTCGTCGTTAGGGAAACTGTTCAAAGATGATGTGTAGGTCGAGGTCAAGTATGGTCGTCAGCTGCAGGAGCTCAAGTCCAACCACGTACAATGCCGATGGTTGCGCTGGTGCAAGCGACTGCTTTGTAGGACGACCTTTTGGAGAAACTACACACGCGCGTCCGCGCGACGGTCGCCAAGAAGGACGAGACGATTGACGCGCTGCGGGACGAGCTGCACTTGGCGCAGGTCCGCTTGACGAAATGCGAAGCCATCATCAACGACCAGCGCGCGCAGCTCATCAGCTAAGACCAATATGAACGCTATTATCCGGATTCTTGGGCGCACGAGCCAATGGCATCGCATAAATGGGCCGTGCAACCGGACGTCGGAAGATCGCAACGTCAACGGCACCGCTTTTGAGCGACCACGCTGGTCCTGCTTGTACCGGAATGGCGCATCGCTATAGCCGTCGTTAGCACTGGCTGAGCTTGGCACATGCGTCCTTGGCTTCATTGGGAGCTACGTCGTCGACGAGCTCGTGCACCATGGTACCGCGCCTGTCGTCGACACATGCCAGCTACGCGCGACCGGCGACCAACTCCATGATGCTGTCGCGCACGTTGGATGGTCTCTCACCGCGCTTTGCAACGGTAGTTCGTTTACAAGAGTATGCACCGCGCGGTCTGTCGGCAACCGCACTGGGCCTCGTTGACGTAAGTTGGCCTGGGACGACGAGCGGTCCCCCGACGCGTGCATACGAAGGCCGCCGAATCTTGCTATCAGCAGCTCACTTGGCCAGAGCGTCGTAGAATCGATTATGCTCCAAGCGGCGCATAACGCTTGCGATCGCTAATGACGCCCTGCAATCCCACACCTTTGTCGACGTCCCGAACAGGGCCTCCGCGATGCGGCTGTCACGCAGGGTAAAACACTTGGGCTTTGACCTACATCATTTGCACCTGCGTCTCGGTTTGTATTCCAGCGGTCGCGGAGGCGGTCCTTGCCACATTGCATCGGACGCGACCGTGATATATAGAGTCGCCACGCGACCCACCAACCTCGGCTGCATGTACCTCGACCCGTTTGGCTCACGGCTTGGGTGCGACGCATGAGGCGTGGACCAAAAGGCGCGGTCATCGTGATTAAAGGAAGTATGCAAGTCGCCGCGTCTAGCTAAACCCACCTTGGTCCTTGGTCGAGAGGCGGCGGAAGCGCTGCGCGAGCTCTTCAAACTCGGTCGAGAGGTCGTCGAGGCAGTTGCCGAGGGCCTCGATGGGCGAGCTCTGGTTGTTGGTCTGGATGCGCACCTTGATGTCGTTGATGAGCGGGTGCGGGTGCATGTAGCCGGCGAACGTCACGTTCGGGTCGCGCAAAAGCTGCATGCGCACGAGGTTCGCAATCGTGTGGTCTTCGCGCAGGATGGTGAACTGACCGGCGTTGTTGATGCGCGTGTCCTTCTCGTACGTGACCTTTTGCGCGCCGTCCGGGAGGAGGTAGGCGTCGCTGCGGCTCGGGGCGTTCATGGTGGCAGAGCGTCGGATACTGGCCGGTATCCGGATGCCCGCCCAGCCATCGCCTTATCCGGATGCTAGGCCAGTGACGGAAACACTGGATGGAAACAGTGTTTTTTACAAGCCAGTCGATCCTATCGATAAAGCGAACGCCATCGACGCTGGAGCTGTGGTCGCGAACATTGTTGTCGCGTCGGCGAAGAGTAGAGCGAAGCGCGCAGGGGCATCTTTGGCAGTACAGTGTAGCGCCATTACGCCATGATAGCAACGCAGGATCTCGCCGGGCGACAACGATTGGCAGATTGGCGCCGGTTCGAACCTGCCTTGCCGGTTGCATTTTCTATTGCGAAGCATTCGAGTGTCATGTCGACACGCCATGACGCGCGAATGGACGCGTCGTCGTCGGTCATTGTCGGTGTGGGTACATCCGTCGTAGCGATGCTTGTTGCATGGCTGCTCTACCGGGCGCGGTTTCATCCGCTCCAGGCACTGCGCGGCCCACCGAGCACCCACGTCATCGCTGGCAACGGGTGCGACATTGTTGTTAGTGCTTTGACACTCAAGCTCGATACAGACGCGAGTTTGCCAACTTTGCGTGGTCGGCGACGCGTCCGTTCCCAGAGCCGTTCGCTTCATGGTACGATGCCGTGTCGTCATGGCGCTGTTGACGGTCATGGTTGCAGGACCAAGACGTACGGTACTGCCTTTTACTACCGTGTGCTCTTTCAACACCGAGTGAATCTGGCCGACCCGGTATCGCTACAGCACGTGCTCGTGACCAAGGCGGCCAACTACCCCCGCGACACGATCCCGCGCAGCATTCTTCGTGTCTCTGAGCCAAAACAGGCGATAACGACTCCATACTCATGTCCCTACCGTAGACTCTGCTCGGCGGCGACGGGCTCTTGAGCTCGGAAGACCAAGTGCACGCTGGCCAGCGCAAGCACCTGCACCCGCCATTCTCACAGACCAACCTCAAGGCCTTCGTGTCTATATTTGCTGCGGAGACGGCAACGCTTCTGAGTGTCTTGGACGCGATGCCAGACGGTCACATTGTCGACGTCCCTGATCGTACGTCCACACGAACGAAGACTATATTCTAGCTAGTTGAACGACCCACATGTGCGTATGTCTAGTCCTGACGCGCCTGACGCTCAACGTCATTGGCAAAACCGCATTCGGCTATGACTTTAATACGCTCGATCCGACAAACAACCAGGCAGCGATCGCACTAAGCGCGTTTGACAAGCTCAACACGCCGCCGCGACCGCTGTATATCCTCGGCCTCGCGTTTCTTCCGCACTTTGAGCACTGGCCGCTACCGTACTTGCGACAGATCCAAACCGCCAAGTCGATGCTCTTCCGCATCGTCGATGACGTGATTGCGCACAAGGTGGCGACACCGGCGCCGGCCTTCGACCTCCTCGACCTCTTGCTGGCCGACGCGGCGATGACGGCCACCGAAGCCCGGGTGCACGTCATGACGTTTATGTTTGCGGGCCACGAGACGACGAGCAGCACGCTCTCCTGGGTGTTGGCAATGTTAGCGACGCACCCTGCTGTCGAAGCCGCAGTCGTTGACGAGTGCCGTCGCGCCTTGGCCAACGCCGGCGGTGCCGTGTCGTGGCAGACGCTGAGCGACCTTTCTCTGCTTACAGCGACGATCTATGAGACTCTGCGTCTGTACCCGACGGTGCCGTTCATTACAATGCGAACGTGCACGCACGACGACTGGATCCCGCGCACGGACGACGACCCGTTCTTCATGCCCAAAGTAGTACATCCAGTCTTTTCAGATGGTATTCATTCAAATGGTCGTAGGGCGCCCAGGCGACATTTTGCGTTGGGGCCATCCATCAACACGCACGGTATTGGAGTCGTCCCACGGAGTTTCTCCCAGGTACAATGTTGTACATTGTACATACTGTCGACGCATATCCTTGATGACGACTAGCGCGTTTTCTGGATGGATCGCCCGAGCACGAGGCCGATGCGCTGCTGCGCCATGGCAACAGCAGCCGGTTTACGTTCGTGCCATTTAGCCTCGGTAGACAACTTGTCCGCGTATTGACAGTAGGATCCTTCTTGATTAGGGCCCAAAAACTGCATTGGAAAACGCTTTGCGATCGCCGAGATGCAAACGGTGCTGCTCCACTTGCTACCGCGCTTTGCGCTGACACGTACACCGGCATCGAACTTGACACCCAAGCTCACAGGTGTCACGATCAAGCCGACGGCGTTGCCGTTGCGGCTACTCCGCCGCTAAATGTGCAATTTAGTTTCATTTTTCATGGGTTTGTAGACCAAAAGGTACCATATGTCTAGATCTTTAGTCGTTGTAGCACTGCGCAATGCGACCGATGACCTTGAAGTTGGCACTTGAAATGTGCATCATTGTGTCTTCAATGCACGCACAGTACTCGCGCGTAAATTCCTGCAGCGTCGACGGGCAGCCATACTTGGGATCGTACAGCATCTTGGCCAGCACCGGCTCGACCGCTTGTCCGGCCATGCGAAGGTAATGCGGGTAGAGGAAAAAGTCGGTCGAGCCGACGTACTCGCAGACCTTGCCGTTGATCGAGACATACAGCGGGTGTCCGTCGACGCCCGTGCCGATGTGCAGCTTCTCTTCCGTAAACGTAGGCACACCATCGGGGACGGGCACCGAGACAAACTCGCTCGGCGTTTTCCGAGGCACGAACGGCACCGACTTGAGCAACGCAATGTGCGAAGCCGCGACGCCGTAGTGCTCGCAGCCGCCCACCATAATGTCAATGTAGCGCTCGGTCGGCGGCTTGTCTTCTTGTCCCAAGGCCGCGACGGTGGCTGCATCGCGGCCATAGATCGTCGCGTCAACGAGCCGGCCGTCGTAGAGGCGCGTTTTTGCCGGCACGCGGGTGTACGTCACCTCCATTTGATCCAGCAACAGCATTTCGGCGGATGTCATCTTGTGCAGCACGCCGTGGAACGAGGCGCCGACGTCCGGGACGGCCTCGGCCATGCCGAGGTGCCCGAAAAAGTGCAGGCGGAAGTCCAGAACCTCGGCTGGGTAGCTCTCGATCGGCGCGAGGTTGCGGCTCTGGAGGCTAATCGGGTTCATCATCGATCCGATCGCAAAGTACCAGACGTCGCCGTTGTCGCTCATGGTTCAAAGTGCAAATTCAAAAATGAAGCGACATTCTCGGAGCACGACGATCTTATCAAGTCTCGGAGGTTGCCGTGGAGCACTGGCGAAGTCGTGCGCGGCTCGATCGCTCAACCAAGAGCCAAGTAGAATGATTCGAGTGTCGTCTTCTGCTGCTGGTGTTGCCCTTCTCTGTCCTTGCTTCGTTGAGACACATATATGGTCGCACTGTCGCCACCAGCAGCGAGCGGTGTTGCCAGGATCACGCGCGTTATTCATGGCCGTTATCGGATGACTACATCGTAAGCGTGTCGGCCATCGTATGGCCAGTAGAAGGAATAAACAGGTTGCCTGCCATGCCATAGTCCACGAGCACTTATAACACCGTATGTGTACCTCGTATTGAGGTACTTTGCCCGCTTCCACAGAACTACGTTGGCTCATGAAATAATTCTCACTGCGCCAGAATCAGAATCGTCGGTGAGACGGGAGACAGTTGTTCAGGTGAGACCCTCGACAGTACTCGGTCCGACCTAGTCACCCATGCAATATGTACACTTCGTCCCTGCTGCTACGATATGCGTTTTGCTCCACCCATCTCCCCAAGGAATGAACGGGAGCCACGTCTTCTACTTGATTACGACCGCCAAAATCAACACTCGAATAAGATGTTTTTGAATCAAAGGACATTTATTCCTCCTTGTACGTCTGCGCAATGAGACCGACAGTCTGGAAGAGATTGCTAAAGTTTTGCATCGTCATGTCTTCAATGCACGCACAGTGCTCGCGTGTAAACTCTTGCAGCGTCGACGGGCAACCATACTTGGGGTCGTAGAGCATCTTGGCGATGAACGGCTCCATGGGCTGGCCAGCCATGCGCAGCATGTTCTTGTACATGGCAAAATCCGGGGACCCAATGTACTCGCGAACCTTGCCGTTGATCGAGATAAGCAGTGGACGCTTGTCGACGCCCGTGCCGGCGCGGAGCTCCTCTTGCGTGAACCACCGGAGTCCGTCGGGCACGGGCACAGAGATGTAGTCGCTGGGCGACTTGCGGGGTACGAACGGCACCGACTTGAGCAACGCAATGTGTGAAGCCGCGACGCCGTAGTGCTCGCAGCCGCGCACCATGATCTCGATGTAGCGCTCGCTCGGCGGCTTGTCTTCTTGTCCCAAGGCCGCGACCTTGGCCGCGTCCCGGCCATAGATCGTCGCGTCAACGAGGCGACCGTCGTAGAGGCGCGTCGTTGCCGGCACGCGGATGTACGTCGACTCCATTTGGTCGAGGACTTGCATTTCGGCGGATGCCATTTTGTGCAGCACACCGTGGAACGAGGCGCCGGCTTCCGGGACGGCCTCGGCCATGCCGGCGGCGCCAAAAAACTGCAGCTTGTACTCCAGGACTTCGGCCGGGTGGCTCTCGACCGGGGCCAAACCGCGGTTCGAGAGACTGATCGGGTTCATCATTGACCCGATCGCAAAGTACCACACATGACTCTCGTCGCGCTGCGTTGATGATGCCATTGGTGTCGTCGATGGACTGGAAAAGGAAAAGTGAAATCAACTGGCAATGCGATATGCATACTATCATGTTTGAGAGGTTGACAAGTTGAAGTTGGCGCTGTATTCAAGCCGCCGACGAGGTGGCTCGGTAAATATGTACAGATGGCCACAAGCGCCTTGATCGGGCCCTTGCGACTTCGTATGGAGACGAACCGGAACGCGGTGTGCAGTGCGATGCCGCCCACCGAGTGCTCAGCACCGTCGAGCGTCGGGTTCGGACCGTTTGCCGTTGGGTAGCGTTACGTCGCGCTACGGCTGTATGCAACGGGACTTAGGCGCCAACGCATTGGCTGCGACAAACCGTCGAACGTGCGGTAGCGATGACGCACGCGTTCCGTGGCCATGATCGATTGCCGTCCAATACTGACGACATATACATGTCCTATGTTGGATGCGAGGGCGGTCCTCACCACGAGGCAGCGGATCCAAGGGAGCAAATGTCTCTCGACGCACCCAGTACTGAGTTCCTGGGGTGGACAGAAGCGACGACATTTCTAGCTTGCAAGCAATGTCCACCGCGAACGATATCATTGCTATCGGGCTACACTGCTCGAATGGTGTGGGGCGACGGAGAACGACTGAGTACTTCGAGCTACAACGGGGGCGCTGCTGGAAGACGCAGCAAAACGAGGCTGGGCGGTATGCGAACAGAGCACGCAGTTGGTGAGTCGATGTGGCGCACACGTCGTCGCCGTCACCGCCGTTGAGGCATTCGTTGCGGGCAAAACAAGCTTGGGGCGCGCGCTCTGGCACAATATGCAACGACTGAGTTGGTGCGCCGCGCACACACCGGACGGCGACAACACCGACGACGACGACGTAGAGGATACGAGTGCAGAAGCCTCGGGGGGTTTCCACGGGAGAGACGAAGCGGTTGCTGCAACTGGCCGGCCTTTTGACGTCTCTGTCATCGCGCTCAATTGATTGGAAGCGGGTACTTTGCTTCGCAGCGCACAGAGGACGCAGCCTTGCAGCTGGTGATCCGTGCACGCGGTCGGTGTGTTTGATGTTGGCGCTGGCGCGTTGACGGTGCTCGAGAAGGATGGCGACGGTGCGACGGGCTGGAGTTTGACCGGCGGCTTGTCGCTGGGCTTCGGGTATAATGATTTGAATAGGATACTGCTCTTTTCCGGGGCAGGGGCATTCGGGATTGGTGCCAAGCTCGAGAGACTGCGCCCGCGCTCGAGCCGATCCCAGTCGACCTCGTATGACTTGGTCGCGACCTTCTCGGGCGTTGTGAGCGCTTGAATCTTGTCCTGGAGTTGTTGTATCTGGCGCTCCGATTCGCGCACCTTGGCTTCATAAGCTTCGTTTTGCGCCAAGAGCGTCCCGATCGCGCGTTCTTTGGCTTGGATGCTCGCTTCAAAGTGCGCGAGCTTCGACTGCACCTCGTCGTTTTGCTTGTCTTTGACGCTCGAGAGCTCGAGGACCTTGAGCCGAAGCTTTGCAATGTGGGCCCGCGCCGCCGCCAGTCCTACGTCGATTCCACAAGCATGTCAGGAGACGCTCCAAGCGCGTTGGGTACCGAGTTGGAGCTGGCGTGGCGACACTGTCGGCGTGGGATTGAGCACGACGCACTGCATGACGGCCCGCGTCCGGTCCGCAAACTGGATCGTTCGGACAGTCTCGTCCGACGCTCGGCCGTTGATCGTCGCAATCAGAACCTACGACTCGATGGCTTGGTTTTAGCTTCAATGCAGCAAAGCGCAGTGTACGGTTCGCGTGTTGCCGCCCAGCGAGTCCTTGAGGAGCCGCGTTAACGTCGAGTCGCGGTACGGAATGTGCTTGCGGCCGGCTTGCGTCAAGGCCGCGATGCAGTTGCCAAGCGCCGAGAGACTGCTGTTGATGCTCTTCATTTCTTCAATCTCGACACCGGGCTTGACGATGAGCTTGTTCCATTTCTCGGATCCCGCCAAGTCCACGAGGTTGAGTTTGCCTTGCCGAAGGCCATTCCGCGACCGCAAGTGCACTTGGAGAATCGCATGGCTGCGACTGCTCGCGGCGTTCATCTCGGTTTCACGGACCACGCGATGGAGCTTCCTAGGACCGAAACTACCACAATGGGCCCATACAAAGTGAAAGGTACCCTTTGCGCAAGAAGGCGTAGACGTCCTCCATGGTGGCGATCGGGAGTAGCGAGAGGCCTTGGATGGACACGTCGTCGGCTTCGCGCAACACGAGCGGGCGTTGCCGCTTGCGGTCCGCAAGCAAATCGTAGATCTTGTCGTTGTAGATCTGCAAGTACGCGCACGTCATGACACCATTGGTGCCAAATTGCTGGACGAGCTCAAAGAGTGCGCGCGGAATGATACCCCATGATGGATCGAGCTCGAGGCGCGTCGCGTCGACGGGCGTCCCGCTGCGTCCCGAGAGCGACGGGGCGGACTCGTCCATGCCCAAGATGGTGTGTGTCTTGCCGGTGCCAGTTTGCCCATAGGCAAAGATGGTCGCGTTGAAGCCGCGCACAACGTCGGCGACGAGATGTTGCACGGCCCCGTAGATGTCGGCCTGCGTGGCATCCGGCGGAAAAATGCGATCGAACGAGCATTCCATTGGACCGTGGGCCGTCGACGGGATCCGCAGCGTTGTGTCGCTTACCGTTTGAATCTACGTCCATGGCATCCTACGCCCTTCAATGGTAGTGCACAACATACGCCGATGAACGTCGGCGACGGCGCCGACGACGACGGTCGGACACGAACAAACACCTGGATGGCCTCGTTGGGCTTGCGATCGAGATCGGCTGTGAGGCCGCGCATGTCTGTCGCTTTGAGCGGAAGGATCTACAGGTGCCATAGCAATGCCCTTGCATGGTCAAGGCATGAGTACGTGGGACGACGTTGTCGCGAGCTCGTGCGCTGTGAGCGGTCGGATGCGGGCAAAGGACACGCGACGAGCGCTTGGCGGGGTGGGCGACCGATCGGAGTTATCGCCATGACGGCTCGAGGCCATGGCCTGGGCCCTTTGGTCGTCGAGGGCGTCGTCGGCAAGATCATCGGCGTCGGCGAGATCATCGGCGTCGGCGGGCTCGGCGCTCATCGCAGTCGGTTTCGGTGCGACACGCGCGACGCTGATTGGTTGAAATACCGTGCTTCAAGTGCGAAAGTGCACTTTGGACCAATCAGCGGGATGGGCAGCGGCCGGCAGTCATCAATCCACCGACATGCTGCACCGTGCTCTGACCAAGGCGTCGTCGCCGGCGTGGGCCCGCCGCGCGAGCTCGGCCGCCGCATATGGCCTTAGCACCGAGCAGCAGGCGTTCTACAACGCCAACGGGTACCTCCACATCGAGGGCGCGCTCTCGCACGAGACGTGCGACACACTCCGTGCGCGGGCGGACCACCACCTCTCGCAGTTCGACCCGAGCTCCAAGAGCATCTTTAGCTCCAAGCACCAGACGCGGTACAGCGACGCATACTTTCTCTCGTCCGGTCCGCGCATCCACTGCTTCTTTGAAGAAGACGCGGTCGACGACGATGGCAACGTCACCGTGCCGCTGCCGCTCGCGATCAACAAGATTGGCCACAATTTGCACTCGCTCGACCCAGCGTTTCGCGACGTGAGCTTCTCGCCCAGCGTCAAAGGTGCGGCGCCTCGCCTAATCTCATGAGCAGTCTTGACCTTCTGTCATAGGCATCCTCCAGTCGCTTGGGTACGTCGCCCCCGTCGTGCCCCAGTCCATGTATATTTTCAAGCAGCCATCGATTGGCGGCGAGGTTGGCGCGCACCAAGATGGCACGTACCTCTACACGGAGCCGCAGAGCGTCATTGGTCTCTGGTGGGCGCTGGAAGACTGCACGACGTCGAACGGTTCGTTATCCAAATGCATTTGGCCGTGTGTTGAGTGCTGCATGGTAGGCTGCTTGTACGGTGTGCCTGGCTCGCACTTGACGACGCCCGTGCTTCAGCATTTCAAGCGCACGACGCCGTTCAATGGCCAAGAGGATTTCTCGAGCGCCGACGGCCCGTTGCTGGAGACGGTGCCCGCGACCAAGCCCGCGTTCGACCTGACGGGCGGGACGCCGATCTTGACCAAGAAGGGCGACCTCGTGCTCCTCCACTCGTCGTTTGTGCATTACAGTCATGCCAACACGTCCGACAAGTCGCGCCATGCGTACTCGATCCACGTCGTCGAGAGCCATGAGACCGAGTACCCGAAAGTCAACTGGCTTCAGTTCCCCAAGGACATGCCGTTCCCCCGCGTGTACTAGTCGGATAAGTAAGAAAGAAGGAACTTGGTCGTTGCACCGATGTCAGACATGCGCGCGTCGTAGCTTTGCAGGCTGTGGCGCACGAGCACCATGCCGTCGATGGCGAACACCTCGGTAGTTACCACACGCTTGCTGAGATCCCGAATGGGTCTCTGCCACGCAGACAGAACGCAGTGGTGAGTGGTGTTGTCGGTACTGGAGCTTGTCAATGGACATAAAACGTTGGTTGATTCTTACAATTAGCAAACGACATGAAGACGTCAGTGTTTACGCCGTCGGCGCGCACTGCGGACGCGATCGCAAGCTCGGTGTCGCGGGCGCCGACGTCAAGTAGTCGACGATGTTTTGGAACACACCACCGATTGTGGATGGTGTCTCGCCTTCGGTGCCCACGGCCGTCGGTGCCGGTGTAAAGTTGTACGCTGGCAACGTGTTGAGATCGGTAGCCGGTTCCGGCTCCGATTTCTGTGACCCCGTGGTAATGCCCGCGAAAATGTTGGACACGGTCTGGGCCGAGATACCGGCTTCGGCGCCTAGCTTCTCGACCTGCTTCGTCGACTCGCCCTCGCCGGCGGCAACAGCGATCTCCGCGGCGACCCCCGGTGGGATCCCGGCGTCCTCACTGTTCGAGATGATCTTTTCGGGCTCGTTGACCTTGATAATGTCGGCTGCGCTGCCAGGGCTCAGCGCACTCAGCGTCGAAGCGATGATGTCCGCCTTCAAAGATCCGACGCCGTTGTTCTTGACAATGTCGGCAATCTCGGTCTCGGTCGCACCGGTTTGGATCGCGACTGCGAGCACCGCAGCTTGCTCGGGGCTAGCGCCCGTACCTTCAGCGGCGTTGAACGCGGTCTTCGTTTGGGCGGCAAGCGAACCCGTACCAGAGCCGTTGCTTGACGCGACCGCCGAAGCGATGGCAATGGCATCTTTGGGGGCGACGCCCGCCGCAAGCGCCGCACTGAGAATGCCTGCTTGGCTGGCACCGGATTCCACTGCCGTAGCAATGATGGCAGCTTGGTTCAAGCTTGCACCCGAATCCAATGCGGTTTGGATGACGACAGCGATGGGTGCCGGGGTCGCAGCTGCTTCTGCCACAGCAGTAGCAACTGTGCCTGCCAGGGCCGGAGAGACGCCGGCGTCAAGCGCGACATTCACAAGATCAGTCCCCGTGACACCCGACGACGCAGCATCGGCCACAACGGCTGCTTGGGATGAGGTAGCACCAGCGTCTTCGGCAGCGGCAACGACATCGACAATCGGAGCACTGGTGACAGCATCCGCATTCGATCCCGCCGCCACGTTTGCCGCAGCAGCAACTGCGTTTGCAATCGACGAAGGTACGCCAACCGCCAGCGCCGTCTGGACAATGCCCAGCGCACTAGCACCGGTGTCGGCCGCGACGGCGATGACAGCGGCCTGCTGAGGCGTGGCACCGGCTTCAATCGCCGCCTGGATGACTTCAAGCACCGGGGCCGGCGTGGCATCCGACGAACCCGCCGTCGACTGCGTGAACGACGACACAGCCGAAGCGATGGCCGACGCAACCGAGAGCGGAGCACCGGCCTCGATAGCCGCGATCTGCACCTCGGCAGGCGAGCCACCCGAGTTGATGGCAACCGCGATGGCAGCGGCCTGGCCAAGGCTTGCACCCGAGTCGAGCGCAGCCTGGATGATCTCGATGATCGGCGCAGGCGTACCCGCCGCACTGCTCGCAGCACTGGCGACGCTCACGGCATCCGACGGGTTGACACCGACCGCCAAGGCGACGGCAACAAGGTCGCTGCCCGTGACGCCCGACGACGCGGCATCGGCCACAGCAGCAGCCTGGGCCGGCGAGGCACCGGCATCTTGGGCGGCATCGATGACGTCCGCGATAGGAGCACTGGTGACGGCATCGGCACCCGAGCCCGCCGCCGAGTCGGCAGCCGACGCAACGGCAGCAGCGACCGACGGGCTGACACCGACGGCGAT